CCATTTCCTGAGACTATGACTCACGACTCGGCTGAGGACCTGGTGGCCGCCTGGGATAGTGCGGCTGCCGGGGCCTTGGACCGTGTCGTGCCTTTGCGGCCTCTGACCCGGCACCGAACTCACCTAGCTCCTTGGTTCTCCGAGGAGCTTAGGGAGATGAAGCGCCGGAAAAGACGCCTGGAGAGTAGTTGGAGGACCAGCCGCTCCGAATCCGACCGAACACTGGTGAGGTCTCATATTAAGACCTACCTAGTGGCAATAAAAGCGGCAAAATCTAGCTATTTTGCCGCTCTTATCGCGTCATCAGATAATCGCCCGGCCGCCCTGTTTAGGGTGACCCGCTCCCTCCTCCATCTGGAAGCGCGGGATGACCCCTTGCAGGGCCGAGCTGAGGACTTTGTGCAGTATCTGTATGACAAAATCGCTCAGATTCGGGAAGGGCTGGCCTCTGACTGGGTATGTCCGGATGGGATGACTGAGGCAGGTCTTGAGAGTGTTATCTGGGGGGAGTTCGATCCTGTGGCTCCCGAGGACATGGACAGGGTCCTGGGACGGCTGAATGCGACCACATGTTTATTGGACCCGTGTCCCTCCTGGTTGGTACTGGCTTCCCGGGAGGTGACACGAGGCTGGCTCCAGAAGATTGTTAACGCTTCTTTGAGTGAGGGGGTCCTGCCGGCCGCTTTGAAAGAAGCGGTTGTGAGGCCCCTCCTCAAGAAGCCCTCTCTGGATCCGGCTGTTTTGGCTAACTATCGTCCAGTCTCCAACCTTCGCTTTGTTGCGAAGGTTGTTGAGAGTGTGGTAGCACAACAGCTTCCCCGGTACCTGGATGAAACTGTCTATCTAGACCCGCTCCAGTCCGGCTTCCGACCTGGGCACAGCACGGAAACGGCATTGGTCGCGTTGGTGGATGATCTCTGGAGGGCTCGGGATAGGGGTTGCTCCTCTATCCTGGTCCTGTTAGACCTCTCAGCGGCTTTTGATACCATCGACCATGGTATCATGTTGCACCGGTTGGCGGGGTTGGGGGTGGGGGGCACCGTTCTGCGGTGGTTCTCCTCCTACCTCTCTGACCGGTCGCAATCTGTGTTGACGGGGGAGCAGCGGTCGACCCCGAGGCACCTTGCTTGTGGGGTGCCACAAGGGTCGGTCCTCTCGCCCCTTCTGTTCAACATTTATGTAAAGCCACTGGGTGAGATCATCCGTGGCTTCGGGGTGGAGTTCCATCAGTACGCTGATGACACCCAGCTGTACATCTCCACCCCAGGCCACCCCAACGATGCCCTTGAAGTGATGTCCCAGTGCCTGGAGGCCGTGCGGGCCTGGATGGGGAGAAACAGGCTCCGACTCAACCCCTCCAAGACCGAGTGGCTGTGGCTTCCAGCGTCCCGATATAGCCAGCTGACGCCATCGTTGGCTATTGGGGGCGAATTACTCGCCCCCACGGAGAGGGCTCGCAACTTGGGCGTCCTCCTGGACGCACGGCTGTCTTTAGAAGACCATTTGACGGCCGTGGCCAGGGGGGCTTTTTATCAGGTTCGCCTGATACGCCAGTTGCGCCCCTTTCTAGATCGGGACTCTCTACGCACAGTCACTCAGGCACTAGTCACTTCCCGCCTGGACTACTGCAACGCTCTCTACATGGGGCTCCCCCTGGGGTGCACCCGGAGGCTCCAGCTGGTCCAGAATGCAGCCGCGCGGGGGATTATGGGGGCGACGAGGCGCTCCCATGTGACACCTCTCCTGCGCGAGCTGCACTGGCTCCCGGTAGTCTTCCGGGTGCGCTTCAAGGTGTTGGTGACCACCTTTAAAGCGCTCCATGGCTTAGGGCCGGGGTACTTACGAGACCGCCTACTGCCACCAATAGCCTCCCACCGGCCAGTACGCTCGCACAGAGTGGGCCTCCTCAGGGTGCCGTCCGCCAGACAATGTCGGCTGGCGACCCCCAGGGGGAGAGCCTTCTCTGTGACGGCGCCCACCCTCTGGAATAACCTTCCCCCGGAGTTACGTATAATAACAGACCTCCGGATTTTTCGTCGGGCCCTGAAAACTTATTTATTTCAACTAGCTGGGCTGGCTTGAGCTAAATTTTAAATTGGTTTTAAATTGGGTTGTTTTAATTTACGGCCAGAATATCTAATTATTTAAATACTGTTTTTTAAATTTTGTATGTTTTGTTTTTACTTAGGCTGTGCACCGCCCTGAGTCCTATTTGGAGAAGGGCGGTATAGAAATTTAAACAAATAAATAAAATAAATGTATCTATTACCTGCTTCAAGCATAGAAATTAGTTGTGCAGGGACACTGGGTGGATGGATGATCTGTACTTAAGATTGTGTTATACCAAAAAGATCTTGTGTCCCTTCTAGAGAGGGATGTTGTTCATTCTGCACTTGTGTATCATCCATTCAGATTATTGTGTACATGGGAAGATTTTGTAAAACCTTATTCCTTTAAAAGGTTTATCAAGAATGCACAATTCTCAGGCTGCAAACAATTGCTGGTGGGACCTCTTCTTGACCTTCCAATGACCTCCAAACTGCCTTTACTGGAGAAAAGGGGGAAGAGAGAAGCCGAGAATAGCTGTTTGCCACTGCAGCCACTGAGAACACAGCTGTTTTCTTTTTTCCTGCTGACAGAAAAGGGAAGCTTCATTGTTGCACTTTTCTTTCTACAGTAATGTGGTCTGAAAAATGGGGAGTATGTAAGAGAGATCACAGGCATGGAGATGAGGAAGAGGAAGATGTGTGGCTTATGCTTGCTCCTACTGGAAAGGTTTGGGTCACTGAACCAGAATCTGCTGCAGCTCTTGTGTTCAAATGCATATACCAAGTTGGACTCTGGCTTGCCATCAAGTTTAGGCAGAAAGCAAGCTCTATGTGTAGCAAATTAACATGTTTGCACTGGTATGTGTAAATTTCTCTAAGAGAATTCATGGCAACAGCCTCATTTATGTTTATATGCCAAAGGTATTAGGATATTTGTTTGCTTAGTTAATTTCACAAAAGGAGCAGTTTGTTTGCTTAAAGATCCTGCTACAAATACCAGCCTCTCTCCTTTCCATAACTATTTTCCATATGACTGATGCTTAATAATACAGTAGTGTGTATCATTCAGCTGGTCATCTCATCTTCACCTAATTTATCTCCCTGCCCTTCCTCTGCTGCACAACTGCATGTGCAGACAGGATGCATGACTTCTGCTTTTTTCATCGGGAGAACCGGTCAGGCTTTTTCATTCAGTCTGACAACTGGGCCTCAGTATTAGCCTTTCATAGAATAGCAGGTGCAAGTGGAAAGATCCTAATTCTGCTAACAGTAATCCTTGCACCACCTCCCACCTCCACAATATGGTCTGCTCCGTGAAAGATGTTTTTGTTTGCTCTTCACAGTTGTTAATTCCGTTACAATGAAGTGACATGTCTTCCCAAACTTTCTGTACAGTGATTCCTCAGAAAAGATACTGTGTGATATTTTCAAGCTATGATCATGGTAAGCACCCTGCTCTAAAGAACAAGCCTGCTCCTGCAAAAATTGGGTAAGGAGAACCACAACCTGTGCCTGCCAGTTGTCTTTTAAAAATGTGCACATACAACAGAAGAAATTCCATAAAAACAAATGCTTAATTAAACAAAGCACACTAGATTCCATTACATTATTGAAATCAGTTTTCATAATAGGAAAAACTTGTACAATCTAAAATTCTAAATAATTCTTTAAATAGGTCTCTCGTGAGTAAAATAAAATGCTAGTCTAAATATGGTTCTTAGTTGTTGGGTTTTTTTTCTTTGTATAATTGAGGGAGAATGGATTGTCCATCCAACCTTGAAGTACCAAATATTTGGTATATCAGGAGTTATACAAGATTGTCATTTGGATAACTATAGTTGCTGTGAGGAACAAAACAAAGCACAGCTTGCCTTACATGGTTAGGATCAGGCTACTACTTTTGAAACTATAATTACATGCTTTAAAAGCTCTTGTAGGACAAGACATTAGATTAAATAATGGGTGGACAATATTCCACCCACTTTTTGATTTAGGACTTTTCTATCTCACATTTCTACAGTAGAATCAAGACTATGATTTATATGTAAATGTGTATTTTTTAAGTTGATAACATTATACCAATATAAATTGATTGGTTAGACAGTGTCCTAAATACTAAGTTTGTGATCGGTTTATGAAGTACATAATTCATTGATGAATTCTGGTAGCTCATGGGTCATTTTTATATGCTAGGTACTACAGTATATTCTGGAAAACTGATTCAGAATCTTATTTAAGGTCTTTAATGCTATACTAAATTACAAGTAAGGCATTCATTCAAGTGACAGGCTACAAACTTTGCCTGTGAACTAGCAAATAACCCAACATCAACCTGCACCTGAAAATGCATTTATAGGCCAACAGACTTGTTGCATAATGTTGCATAACATCAGGTATAAAATAAAAAAATATTAAACATAGTACATGTTTTCAACTCCCTATGCTCCTTCCTATAATCTTGAATGCAATTATTATAGAGTATTATGTGAATATGACACAAATTAACCACAAATTTATACATAACAAATAGCTTTCAAGATAAAGTACAAGAAAATCAGAAGCCAAACCTCAAATCCATAGAATAAAAACAAAAGATCTAAATAAAAGGGGTTGAGTTAAATGTATGAATATGTCATGTATCCCTTGTAAACAATACAATAATAGAAACATTATTTTGATCTGATGTAATTTCAGATAATAGTTGAAATTCCACAGGAATTTAAGGTTTCATAATCTGTCCAATATCCCAATAACTTTTAATGGTTGTAAGACAATATTGAAGGAAGAGTTATTATAGCTAAAAAGGTACATTTTTTGCCTCCAGAAGATGAGATGGGGTTCAAGCTTTTATTTATGATCGTATAATGTAAATGAATGTAGAAAGTTTTACCCACTTTCTGCTGGAGGAAACAGACATGCTAACAGTTGATGCATAAACAGGGAAGCAACAACTTTGTTTTATAATTGTTTATTAATACTAGTGATCTTACAAAGCTACTAATTAACCAGCAATTTCCCCATGTTTTATTACAGCAAAAGCAGCTTAAAAGGAATAGAGAGAACCCTTCGTATAAAAAAGATCAATATACTCTTTATAGTGACCTATGAAAAATCTCATAAGATTGATTAAATGCTTTTTAAAAATTATGTTTTTTTTTTTATCTCTAGATACCATGTGGCAAGTTTTGGAACCAAGTTCCAGCTTGATTTGAATTATTAATAATCCCTTACTTGATTGGCTATATTAATTACAGTATTACAATAGAAGTGATAAAATTATATTATAATAACACTTCATGATTTTAAGAAAAAATATTGTAATTGATCTTTGAGCTCAACACATAGGAGAAAGTTATACTATTGCATTTTAAAACTTCATTTCTACATTGAGTAATTGCTTCCATGCCGTATATTTAATACTTTAAAAAGATGAAACCAAAGTTCACAGGCTAATTAATATGTGATATGGAAAAACCATAATTGAATTGTTATGGAATATATATGTGCTGCGATTTAACAGAGTACTGTATTGGAAATTCTCATCTTCAAATGTAATTCTCCCTTTTAAAAATTAACTTTCAGGAATCCTATATGCAATCTGTGAAATATATAATTTTTCCATTGAGATTTTCAAATCATTTTTAAATCAGGCACTGATTTCTGGAATGTAGAATTAATTCAATTGTGTGGATTGCATTGCAATAGGTTAGTTCAGAAGCAACAATCCTTTTTTTATGTACAATTTAGTTAAGAAGGAAAAATTGGATATGGGTATTTTTAAAAAAATGTATACTCTGTGCTGCTGGTTTAGGTCAAAGATGCCTCCTGAATTTGGAAAAAAAATTACTAGTTTTTTTCCCCTCTGGTCAGACTGGCTGTGTTGTCATGGAATTTTTGCACCACCTTCTTGAGTTTAATATAGATTTTTCTTGCCTGTTCCACAGAAACTCTGGCATAGCACAAAACATTTGGTCCTTTTCCTACTTGCAATATATCCTGTATTAATCAAGGGGAAATTTTCGAGAGAACCAACAATCTCTCAGTGAAGCAGCTGCCTAATATTTTAATTGCTCCTGGAGTGATAGATAATGACACTGACACAAATCAAACATGAAATGGCAGTCTATCAATAACTGCAAGCTTCATGTGGTGCTAATATACTTCAGTTAACACTGAGACAGAATACACAGAAATACATACCTCACATTTTAACAATGTTTTAATAGCCTCTTTAATATTCAAATAGACCTAAAATTTCACAAAACCCGGTAATCAAAGATCTCCATGCATTCTGATAGCATTTTGGAACTAGGATGCATTGGAACCCCACTATTTTCATTCATAAAAGTGACATGTCAGGTGGAAAAACGTAGTTCAGTGATTCTCACGCAGGCAACGTTTCAAACTGGATGAAATCTCAATCTTCTACAATAAGACTTGATAGCAGCTATTCACATCTTCTACCTGAACTGCCTATTTTGTTCCACTGTAACAGTCACATGTTCTTAAATTTAGCAGCATAATAATTTTAAAAAGGATAAATGGAGTGGATATCCTACTATCCAGGTGCAGAACAACAGTTGTGCATGGTTGAAGATTTGGAAAGAAAAGGCATCCTGGTTTGAAGTTCAATTCTTCTTTACAACAGTCTTATTAAACAAAAGCAGCATTAAATGACCGACCAATTATTATTCTGCGCACCTCACTTGTCCCTGCCCCAATTTCATACAATTTAGCATCACGCAAAAAACGTCCCATGGGATAATCATTGATGTAGCCATTTCCCCCTGAAACGAAAGGAAAAAAAGCTAAATGTTAAATGAGGGACAGAAATCCTGATGGTGGGTTAAAAGAGAAGCAACTTGGCTAGAAAGTAGAAGACCATGAATTCTAGTTCCGCCTTAGCCATGAAAGCCAAATGGTAACCTTGGGCCAGTCACTTTCTCTCAACCCAACTCGCCTCACCAGGTGGTTGTTATGGGAAAAATAAGAGGGGGAAGGTGTGTTAGATATGTTTGCTACCTTGAGTTATTTGTAAAAATAATAAAGGCAGGATACAAATATATATATTCGGATGCTACTTTATTAGCTCTTACGTCCTTGGTTAGAACTTGAACTGTTAAGTTTTTACCAGTCTCAGACTGTGAGACTGGTAAATTGAAGATTAAATCTTAAATAATACTAATACTAATAATACTACTGCTACTACTACTACTAATAATAATGTATTCATATGCAAAGAAAGCTTGCATGCTAATTAATATTAAATCCATTTGAAAAGAAACTGAAATTATAAGATATAGCGGTAATCAGTAAAGATGAGACGGAAGTAGCTATATAATGATATGCAAACTTTTAATTAGTTGATCTCTTAATGGAACAGTCAGATATCTTGGCTCTTACCCAAACACTGGATTCCATCCAAAGCAACTTGAGTAGCACATTCTGCAGAATAGAGGATCACTCCCGCACAGTCCTGAAGAAGAAGACAAGATCACTTGCACTGAAATAGAAGGATGCAGAGCAATCCTAATTTGAAAAATAACCCAGCAGAATTGCATATTTATTTCCATGTCCCATTATACAGTTAAATACGGTATACATAATTATTATAGCAAAATTTATTGTTTTCTTATGAAAAAATAATCATAAGAGCTGAATTTCCCAAAAAAGGAAATGGCAGATAAAAGGCAGCTCTGTAAAAAATGAAATCAACGACTAAGGCAAAAAACAAACAGCCAGTGAGTTGTCAGACATCCCAGTTAAAGCAGATGGAAATACAAAATGAACTAAATATACTTTATTGCAAGGCTACATTAAGAGAATTTTGCAAGTTTCAAAGTACAGACTTCCCACCGCTGCTTTTAACTGCTTGACACATTAGGGCAGGTCCTTCCTAAGTTTCCTTTTCTGACTGTTAAGCCCCTGAGGGCTCCTGCCTGTTTCTTCTGATCGTTTCCTAGGGAGCATTTCTTTCCCCAGTTTCTCAAGGTCATCCACATATTCCATTACATGAGCAGAACAGCTGCTCGAATCTCTCTGGACAAAGACAGGATGGGTGCTCCAGGTAGTCATGAGGAGCAAGGCAACAAGCTGTGGCAAGTTTTGAGCAATGGAAAACAAGGGAATAGCCATGTTGTTCGTGCCATGGTTAGTGCCTTTGAAAGGACACTAAACTTATTACAGTGACTTCTTATGCTACACTACAAATAAATCTTTTGTAGATAGGTGAAAACATATTCTAGCAGTTAAAATGGACAACAGGATATTTAAAATATGTTATACTTTTTGTGTCTTAATTTCCAGTAGTACTAAATCTCTAAATCTTAACATACTCCTGGCAAAACAAAATACAGAAGCTGTGTGGAAATTAAAAATATTTTATAAGTAGGCTCACAGTCTGGGAAACTCAGTATGTGATTTGGAAAGATGGGTAAAAGTGGTTATTATTTTGAACAGATAATCCATTTAGTAATTACTGAATCAAACATTAAATTATTTTATCTGTTGTTTTTTTTAAAAATCTGATTTTCTGATAAGTTGCAGAGTTACGAATTTTACTGCTTTGCTGTGCTTTTATTGTTTCTCAGTTTCAGTGCTTTGAATAGAAAATCTAAAATAAAATATAAACAGCACCACAATATTCTCCTGCAAACTCACCTTTGCATTGATGTGTCCTTGATCACACGCCTTTGCTACGTTATATACATATTGCCGGCATGCCATCAATCGGGTGTACATATCAGCCATTTTACCCTGCATCAACTATATACAGCAGCATAAAAAGGTGAAGAAGGCAAAATGTTAGAAGTTATTTTCAAATGTTATGTCTAAAAACCTGTATTATATTGGCTTCCATTCCTGAACATCGCTATAGTCAGACTTATAATAGCAGTAAAGAAAGAATTAAAAATATGACAGAAGTAACATACATTTCCAGCTGCTGTCCACAAATCAAAGTGCATAGTGAAATAGAAGCAAGAACTACTTGTGTTGGATTAGCAAGCCTTAGTGAAATGTCACTGGAAGAACAGTTATTACCGGAGGAAAATGATGATAACAGTAATTGGATGAAATCCAACATCCCTTGAATCACAGTAGCCTTTATACTGCCAAAGTACTTTGAAAATCCAAATCCTACTTGTTCTCCAAAAGGAAGCTGCAAACTAAAATAGTTATTTGTTCGTTAAATTTACATGGTCCACAACTCCCAGCTATCCTGGGCAGTGAGTGCATGGAAGTAATATAATGAGCAAATCTAATCCAAAAGTTGCTTCCCAAAGATATTAAATGTCAATTTTAAGAATATCTTGATATTCTAGCAGTAAAATGCCATATTCTCTCACCCTGAATCATCCAGCAACTGAAGTAAGGGGAAAAGTACAATGGTTTTGCATTTTGTCTCTTAGAATGCAAATATCAATGTAACTAGGGTGAAAACAATTAAAAGCCAATTAATTCAAAATCTATTTAATACGGTTCTTATTGATGATAAGATACTAGCCAACTATTGAATTCTTCCCTGAAAGTTAATTGGTGTCACTTTCATTATGCTTACCTGGAAGTGGCCAATTTTCTGCCCAAATGCTTCCCTGATATGCAGATACGGAACAGCATGGTCTAGCACTGCCTGCATAATACTGCAAGGGAAACAAAATGCACTAAAATTGATTTTATGAATTTATAGCATATCTCTGAAAAGGTGGCCCATAAAAATTCAATGAAAAACACAGTGAATCCAGAAAACCATGAAACTAAAAGGGCATTAAGAAAAACAAGATAGATAAGCAGTAGAAAGTGATTAAAAGAAATTGACCAAATATTAAGAAATGCCTTGAACCTACCATGCCCACTTAAGCATTTCAGTAAAATAGTATATTCTGGAAAAGGAAGAATTGTAAGCGACAGAGCTATACAAAACTGTGTTGGTCCATTTTGAAAGTGTAGTGATTGTAACAGGATGAAAGCTATTAGGATAACCTTTACCTCATTAAAATTAAAAAAGAAAAGCAATTAGTCCATGTTGGGAAAGTCTTCTGAATCAGACTATAAAACAAAAGACTAAAATGTACAATTTTTTTACTAGATAGTATGACCCTTCTTTCCTATAATTAGCTAATAATGCATTAAATTAGCAAACTTTCAATTTCCTCATGATAAATTAGGGGAATTGAAAACAGAAATTAGGGGAATAGAAACGTGTATGTTGGGAAGGATGAAGGGAATCTTAATAATGATATTTGTTTTCAAATAAATAACATTTTTATCATCGAAACTTAATATAAAATATTTCAAGTAATTAAAAAAGATTATGAAGTTGGAACCAAAGAAGATTTCTATATCTGCTAAGTAAGCATCATTAAAAACTAATTTTACCCATAAAACTATTATGCAACACAAAGTAAATTTTGGAAAATGAGACAAAACAAATGCTGGGGGCCAAGGTGGAGGAGGAGGGAATTATAGCTTCCAGCTTCTCTATATAATGGCTCATTAGAAGACTTGGTCTCTTGTGGTTTTCATTCTGTTCATGGAATGCTGAACTGCAGTATTATTGTTTTATGATTCGCTGGTTAGGCAGCAAGAAATTATGGTAGGCTGCATTACTCTGCAGATAAATTAGATTAACCTTATCTTATTCAAATTTGACCCAAATACTTTGTTATGGTGTCTTATGCAGGGTTTTTTGAAAGCATAAAGATATCCAGTACTGGAAACAGTGCTCTGTATTGTGCAGCTGTGTTTTAAAAAAAATTAGACATCACTTCTCTTTTAATATGTTAGGGGCCCCACCTGCATACTGCCTGCTGTCGCTCTGGTATCCTCTTCCCTGAACACCCTTATTTGGGTGTTCAGATTATGATGCCAAACATTTAGATTATGCTGCCAAAATTCAGCAGAAAAGAGGCTATGTTTGACAGAATTAAGCAGTAACATAATCGCACAAGTCTCTTGACTCAAACCTTTAAAAATAATACTTAGAAATGACAATGTTGTTTTGGTGGAAACTCAGTCTGGTGATGATCATTTCATTACTTCATACTGTTCTGTAACCCTCAAAATATTAATTTTTTTAAAAAAATGTAAAATGCAGTCCTTCAATGTTGTCAGTCTCCTTAAAAAGTAATGGACAATATTTATGGGCAATTCATGAACTGAATTTCCCCTCAAATTATTACAGAGACAGACATTCTATGCTGACAGATGGGCAACAACCAGTAATGGTACAATTATCTCAGCCACTGTTTTCATGTGCCTTAATAGCAAAAAGAACAACTGCACTTGTAAGTCATTGCTTTGAATAAATCACCTCAAAGCAATAAAAATCACAAAGGCCCCTTTGCTCCTGGAGACAATTGTGAGGGGAGGGGGAACAACTGTGGGTTAGTATAAACAGGTTGCTTAAAAATAATTTTAAAGATAAGGAAACTTAATGTAAGAAAAGCAAGTAAAAAGACTAATTGAAATGCAGGAATAATTTCTCATGTGAATAATACTTTACATAAGGAATTATTACCACCAACTGAGAGAACTGATGAAGTATCACAATGTTCTCAGAATAATAAAATAAACTCATATTTACCCCAGTGGTCCACCAGACAGAATGAGTCTCTCTAGATCCAAGCCACTCATCAACACATAGACTCCTTTGCTTAATTGTCCCAATATATTATCAGCTTTAAGAGACAAAGGGAAGTTGGTTACTTACATAACTTCAACACTGGTTCAGATAAAAAAATGCACCACAGATAGGTTATGTGTAAGTCTACATATACACAGCAGTATACGATATAGAGAGAATTACATTTTTAACTAATACTATTGTTTAGCAACAAAGAAAAACTACTGTTACAAACCCACTTTCTTACATATCTTGACAAAAAATAATTAAACATGCATAACTAAGTTTGATCTCATTGTCATGGTGATAAAATCAAATTGTAAATAAATTAGCAATAATGGAAACCTGTTGTGTCTAATATGACATCAGTCAGTTCCAATATTAAAAACTACAGTACTAATAACCTGGTTTTAAAAACATACCAAAGAAAGCAGCGATAGTGAAGGAAATGTACCTTTACTCATTGTTTATGCTGATATACAACTGTGGAATCAAAGACAAGGCTCAGCAATGGCCTTTGCTATATGGCCTAAACATATAATTCTGTGGATGCTTATGGGGATCAAAGGAGCTTGTGTTACACCCACTACAGCAGTGATGGCTTTTCCGGACTGAGTGCCCAAAGCACATGTGTGCGCGCATAATTGTGTGCGTGCACACCCAAACCCCTAAAATGCAATGCATGCATGGCCCCCCCACATGCGCCCCACCCCCTACTCATGTGCTCGCCCCCATGCGCCCTGCCTCGCCCCATGCACATGCGTGGTAGAGACTTGAAGACCAGCTGGCCGGAGGAAGGCACGCAAACATGCATAGCGGAGCTGAACTGGAGCAATGGCTTGCGTGCCATCAGAGAGGGCGCAGCGCGCCACCTCTGGTACGCATGCCATAGGTTCGCCATCACGGCACTAGAGTATATGTGAACAAAGCCATGTGTGACAGAGTTGTATTTCTAAAATGCATTTTGATCCAAGTGATAAGAACTCTAAAAGCTCAGAAAATTACTGGAACAGGTCAATGTTGGACAACAATGGTAGTGACCCTGGAGCTCAGGGAAGCTTAACAAGAATATTGGCATTTAGTAGTACTGCTGTTGTCTTCCACTGAGCTGAGAAAAAGGAATCTATTTTTTACAAAAAAGAAATGATAAGATCTCAACTCTACTTAAAAAGATGGAAGCCAGGAATCCACTTTACTGCCAATAAAATTTGAAAAATAAGAAGGTGCATTTTCAAGAGTGTAAAGATGGCCTCTCCTACAGCTCCTTATTAACAACATGTACAGTGAGCAAATATGAGAAAGAATAGATCCACAGAGAAAACCAAGTAAAAGATGTTTCTTTTCTTCTCCTAAAATCCAATACAGGAAATTACAATCTTGAATCCTATGCTGAATACTCATTAAGATAAAATGGGTGATGTTAACCATGAGTTGTTTCTATTGAATGTTTTTAACATAAAGACGACAGTGGCACCTTAATTATTAATACTTTTAAAACTTACTCAGACATACTTTACTCTAAAACTTACTCTACCTAATTTCATCAGGTAGATGAAGGCAAGATCCATTTACAAAGAGATTTTATGTATACATGGATGAATTAGAGGACAAGGAAATGGAATGGGAATAGGCAGGACTGCTATGGAAATCAGGAGACAGAATTACTAGAATGGCCATAAATAAATTGTAGGCAGCATTTGTCAACTCTGGCTGCTTTAACATGTCTGGACTTCAACTCCCAGAATTCCCCAACCAGCAAACTGGCTGAGGAATTCTAGGAATAGACATCCAGACATCTTAAAGTGGCCAAAGTTGAGAAATACCTTGTAGATTGTCCACTGTTATCTTAAAGGTCAATAAATCATTGCTGGGTAAGTAATATGTCCAGAAAATGGAGTCTGTTTAAACAAACCATTGCTGTTAGAAAAGAGAGGAGGAGAAAGGAAATGATGGAGGAAAAATGAGATTCAGAAGAAAAAAAGAGGTTAAGTGTAGAGAAGCAACTTTTGACTTGATTTTTCAGTTTTTTAAAATATTTTATTTAACATTCAGAAAGACAAACCTAAGGAGAGAGAAACAGGGGAGTTGTCATTACAGCTGAAAGTAGCACAGCTACTGTGTTACTCACCAGGAACTTTGCAATCCTCAAAGATTAATTCACAGGTATTTGACCCTCTCATTCCCAGTTTATCCAGTTTTTGTGCTGTGCTAAAACCAGGCATATTCTGAAGAAATGAGATAGAAAATACACAGGAAAATCCTCTTCCATTAGAAGTTAGACTAAAACACAATTCTTAAAGCTTCTAACTGAATAGTCTGTACTGAATAGGAGTTAATCACAGAAATGATTCATGCAAAGTGTATTAATGGCAACATGGTAAAGAAAGAGAGCTAACACCTACAGAGATAGCAAATCAAAGACCACAAATCAACATACATGTACCCAGTAAAGTTTAAGTTTGAGTTCGTGTCACTCTTGCTCCAAACCCCAAGGTAACATAGCTCTCTAAATAAATTAGGGTTGCTATATAATTTGAATGAAAAGCAGTAATTATTCCCTTGAATGATTGAGGGCAAAAAAAGAAGGGGTTGAGGTGGCTGGATGGAATCACTGAAGCAGTCGGCATGAGTTTAAATGGTCTTGGGGGGGGGATGGTAGAGGACAGGAAGGTCTGGAGGAAAGTTGTCCATGGGGCCGTGATGGGTCGGACATGACTTTGCAACTAACAACAACAATTATTCCTTTATTTGGCAGGGAGTTAACCTGTCACTTTTTCATGAGATGTTTTACAATGGCTATAAATGGCTTACTAGTGAGTGAAATCCAACCCTGTGTCAGAAGACAGTTCATATAGCAGAATTTTTCCTTTTATTCTGCACAACAGCCTATCCCCACTTAAAAAAATTTTTTTCTGAAAGATTTGAAACTATAAAGACTCTGGCCTCATGGGTCTGATATGAAATGAAGGAATCTTGCTCCAGTTTCCTGATTTCTGATGTTCCATTCAATAAACTTGCCTTCTACTCATTCAATGTTTGATCTTTATTATCTTTAAAAAATGTTCTTCTTTTCCACATTTATTGAGGTGACAACAATTAAACCGCCAAATATAATTGTTCCAAAAATTTAACAACTTGTTCAAGAAATGTGAAACCACAGACTCAGCCTATGCACAATCAAGTGGCTTAATGAGTATGGCTAATTCTATTCATATAGCTTATATCCTTTTGGTAGAACTGAGTTTCCATATTTACTCCGTGCTCCTTAAACTGTCCTTATTTTGCAATTGCTGAAATATTTAAATGCTTAGGTGGGGATGGTTATTGATTTCAGTTTTTCTTACTAGTTATTACTGTTTACAATATATAGTTGGCTGAGGCTTCAGGATGATTCACTAATTATGAATATGCATACAGAAAATCATAATGGCTCAATTCCTCTAACAGGAGTTTGCTATGGAATGTGGCAAGATAGTTCTTAATTTACGCAAAGATGGACATGGGAATGACTGTAAAAATAATTTAAAAATAAGAATGCCATCAAATAGGTTTATACCTTTTCTCACATCATCACGTAGGATATGTTGTTCCAGTTCAGAAACTCAGAAAAGAACTTCCTTGAGCTCACTGAAGTTAAACATCACAAGGTAAATCATTATTTTCAGGTCCTAATCTTGCCGGTTTAGAGCTGTTTCTAAGGAACTCTTCTTACCATATGGACAGAGGCAACTCTATCCCTGCCAAAGTTAACACTGTTGCTCAGAACACTCAAGGAAAGCCAGCAGAATGTCTGGTCTTTTCAGTTTCTTATGCAAGATTGGCCACGGAAGAAGGAACTGCTGGCCTCTATTGTGGAAACAATGTTGTTTCAATGAATTCAGGAGCATGGCTTGTTTTATTTTCTAACAAATAAGTTCTTTCCCATCCAGTTGAAAGGACATGATATCCATAAATCTGTGTAAAATATTTTACATGGAAGATGAAAGCAAGCTTTTTTACAACCCTGGAAACGTACCTTTTCCACAATGAATGCTGTTATACCGTGAGAAGTTGGAACAGCACTGGGGTCTGTTTTAGCATAAACAATCAGAACATCAGCATCTGGCCCATTAGTAATCCAAAATTTGTTCCCATTTAGAACAAAATAATCCCCTGGAAAGGAAAGATGAACTGCTTAATTGTCTGGTTCACAAAACACCCAAAGTCAATGTATTTCCAGAAAGTTTTGTACTTCTCAAGACAACTGAAATTTCCATAAGTGTTTCTTCTCAATACCTTCTGGATACCTGTTTGCTTTTATGTCTATGTTCATGAGATCATTTTTATAGTTAGATATAGAGAATTACTATATATCTTAGCTCTGGAGCTGGCTCTTTTCATAATCAGCCGGTTTCCTTGGAAAAAAGGAGCAGAGTTGTCCTACGCAAACAACACATTCTTCAAAGGATTAGTCAGCTAGAAAGATTGGCCCACAGGTCAGTGCATCTCAAACAGTATGAAGTTATGACTCAATCATACCTCTATTCAATATTATATTTTTCACCTCGCAACTCTGCTCCACACAATTTTTGCTTAAAGTGGTTGAAACAATCAGAAACCTGTGTTCTCTGTGCTCCCCATCCCTGCCAATAAACCCAATCCTCAAATCTGAAGCAAGAGAAAGCAAATGTAAATATCAGAAAGATGCAGAAATTATTTTATATATCAATAGACACTTGGATGGATGCAATATCTTTCAAAGCTGAGTCTATATGAACTTCAACTAGATGATCCTACATCCCTGCAATCATCATCTTTTAACGACCCCATAATCCCTTGCGGGGTGGAGTCTAGGCAACTGAATGAAGTTAGTAGAGTGTTTCAATGGCCAGATGCCCTTCCTGTCACCAATGCGGAGTTTTATTCAGCAGATATATTCAGCAGATATATTCTCTGGGCATACTCTCTAGTGTGCCCAGAGAGAGAAATATCTGGCTCTGCCTAGGATCGAACTCACAGCCTCCTGATTGTGAGGTGAGAGCTCCACCTCTAGGCCACCACACCACTCCTTCTACACCACTGCAATGATGGCCCAAAATTGGGGGATGAGGAGGGGAGGGTTTGAATCCAGAAAAGGACACATGGAATTCTACGTCAGCAATGAGGATTTCCTGGCTTTGTACCTAGCTTGAAACTTGATAGAGCTATTTAAACAAAAATGCAACAAGTACAGGGTAGAATTGCAGAAGGGGAAATCATGGGCGCATTTTCCCACATCCCACCCATGGATGTGGGTTGATTGGCAGTGATCAGCAAGAAAAATGGAGAAAAAGGATAGGACAATAAGGATCCACATTGGATAACACATTGTGAACTGCATTTAGCCTGGCAACAGTCGTTTTAGACAGAACTGTTATATTCACATCAGTGGCAGCTCATCAGCCTTTTTTGCTCACCTGTGCTTTGCAGCAGCATTATTCGTTCTCCAGCCCTTTGGCTTGGGAATTGCTCAGACATACATCAGAACTAGCATAAGTTACTGTGTGGACATACAGTAAAAGAACACCTAGAAAAGCTTGATGTGTTAAAGTAGAAGTCCAGGGGGCATTAGGTATCTTTTACGAACATTTTTTTCCCATGTATACGCAATAATTTTTACCTTTTTTGTCTGCCCTCAGCTTCATGGAGACAACATCAGAACCAGCATTGGATTCACTCATTGCTAGTGCTCCAATATGCTCTCCACTATTCAACTGGGAGGATAAGATGAAAAAGAAGTCTATTTTGCTGCTATCGTTACTATTTATTTTTTTAATTTATAAAAAGTTCACAAGAACCTGGTTTTCATGCTTTGGGGAACTGCCAATAGCAAGTGTTATCACTGGCAGAATTCTCCAAATAATTTTACTAATGGCACCGTAGAACATCACACTAAACAAGAAAATATACTGTTGTCCCGTTATAGCAAATGGGTAATAAAACATTGTTTGGAATAGACTTTACAGCTAGGAGAATGGTACCAAGACAAAAGTCTTAGTAGCTTTGCATGATGTCTTCTCCCTGACTGCCTTTTGAAAACAGGACCAAATTGATGTACTGCAAACTTGAAAAATTATCAGATCATTGAAAACAAGAGTTTGAAAATCTGAAAGGAGCCATGAGTCTGGAACAAGATATCAAAATCTCAGCCCATGTGTTAAAATTGCAATAGTCCTTAACTCTCACAATAGAATTGTAGATAATATTCAGTTATGCCACCCTGGCACAACAGACCTCTCATTCTCTTGCTTTCTGTTCTTTCTCTCTTTGCCATCTTCATATTTTTCGGACTATAAGATGCACCGGTGTTTAACATGCACAAAGATTTTGAAGAGGTAAGTAAAAAAAAAAAGTTTTTTGCCCTCCCCGGCCCCCAGGAGCACTCTGCAGGCCTTCCAAACCCTCTGTGCATCCCGTTTTTCGCAAAAACAGGGGCGTTTTTGCCCTCCCAAACCCTGTGCCTGCCTCATTTTTTGCCCATTTTTGCAAAAAATGGGACATGCAGAGGGTTTGGGAGGCCTGCATAGTGCTCCTGGGGGCTGAGGGAGGGTAAGAACGCCTCCATTTTTGCAAAAAACGGGCCCATTTTTTGTAAAAATGGGACGGGTGGGGCGGGGCTTCGGGAGGCCAAAAATGGCTATATTCGATGTATAAGTCACACCAACATTTCCACCCTCTTTTTGGGGAGGGGGGAGTGTGTCTTATACTCCGAAAAATACAGTACATCTATTCTTTTTCCAAGCTCATTCAGTACACTGGAATGAAGCAATATAGTTACACTCAGCAGATTAATACTATTTCAGTCTTTCAATTTAAGACAGTGAGGTGCTTGGGTAAACTTGTACATTTCTCAAGAAGAATGAAATAGATAAACCATACAATTTACCCATTTTTAACAGCATTATGGGTGAAAATAATTTCGCTAATTGGAGAAAGGATAGTACAGAATAAGGAAAATTTTCTTCATGGAATCAGAATGCAGAAATTGGGCTCTCCCTTAATGTTCCAGCCTAGATTTTAATAAATGGAAAACAACTACGAAATTTTAACAGTCAGAGCATTTTTTAAAAAATATCAGCAAGTCCACCATATGGAAACTGTCATTCTTCCTTATTTAGTTTGTATTTAAAGTTCTATTAGCTCATCAGCTCTGGCACTTGCCTATTTAATGCAAAGTTGATTTAAACGAAATGCTATCTTGTAATAATGGATATTCACTTGGAGAAAGATAATTTAAATAAAAATAAAAATTAGAATATCCCTACTCTAAGTGAAAAATGTAATGGTGCAAATGGAAGATACTTCATTTTGCATCAATTGGGCAGTGATTGCACTGTTCTCACTGCAATATCAGTGACGAGCACCGAGGGGTAAGAATAGGAGGCTAATCAAGTCAAAAGCCTCTTCATATCAGAAATCCATTCTTTTATTCTCTAAATAAGGAGAAAAACTGTCATCTTTTTCAAGGTCTTTTGTAGGCAGCATACATATGAGAGCTGTGAACTGTCCTTTCTGATGAATTAAGAAGAGCAACGACTTGTAACTACTTCAGAACTGTATGGATATTTTCATAGATGCCTAAGAACAACAGAAGACAGGTAGTAAACTCTCATTGTCTATGGAGATTCTCAGAGTCATGGTTATCTCAAAGGTGCTTTTTCAAAAGGCAACTGGACTTTCTTGTTTTTCTTAGAAGACGTTTTGCTTCTCATTCAAGAAGCTTCTTCAGTTCTGAAGTGCAAATGGTTCAGTTTGAGATGGAGACAACACAGACTCATCCCCAACAGCCTGCACCTGTGTTCAATAGTGAAGGGACACAGGGCAGAAAACACAGCTCCATAACACAGTTCCAAGAAGGCTCCACACCCATTTGCACTACTCAGTTGACCCTGAGGACACAGACAAACCTCCAAGTGGCCTCAACGATTCTCTAAAAGAATGCAAATGACCAGCTGTCTGCAAGGAATATAAATCCTTCCATTCCCCACCATCCAGTCAGACCTGAAGAAGCTTTTGGGATGAGAAGCGAAATGTCTTCTAAAGAAAACAAGAAAATCCAGTTGCCTTTGGGACAAGACCCTCATTGCAAAAACTAGATTCAATTTCAAATTGTAATTGCAGCTGAACCCAGACTGAAAACTACAGAACCAGATCACAAAGAGCCTGCAGAAGGGCATGTAATATCTAAGGCATATTTTTAGGGGCTTCTTCAAAGTTGCCACCAAATGGAAATGCTTAATATGTTAGGGGAAATTTTAAGGTTAAGTTAGAAACTGAATAAAATCAGATTCAGTTTTTGTTGTGTTCATACCTTTTATTGATTTTATTTAGAGGCTACCTAAAGGGACTGTTGGTGGTTTATACTTTAAAGAGCAAAAAACAATAAAAGGGAAAAAATTCGCATATGAACAACAAAAAACACAACTGCCATATATAAAACTAAAGGTTCTTGACATATATTTCAAAACCAAGCAAGGTCTCTAAAAAGTTGCACTGTTGACTGAAGGCCTCAGAAATGAACTGTTTTAAATTCATCATTCTCACACAGAGACTTGGTAAATATCCTTTGCGGATTTAAGATTTTTTTAATTTCTCAATAATTTGTAGCTACAAATCATACATGAAAGTTGAAGATGGTTTTTAGTCCAGATGTTTTTAAATTGATTTTTTTTCTACAATACATAGGTAAACAAAATACATTTTATAAAGATTAAGTTTAAACAATTGAGACAAAATAATGTTACTTGCTCTATTCCAAAACAAAATTAATACAGGTAGTCCTCGACTTACGATCACAAATGAGCCCAAAATTTCTGTTGTTAAGCGAAAAGTTTGTTACCCTGTTTCCCCCAAAATAAGACATCCCCTGATAATAAGCCCAATCGGGCTTTTGAGTGCACGGCAATAAGGCCAAGCGCTTATTTCAGGGTTCAAAAAAATATAAGACAGGGTCTTATTTTCGGGGAAACACAGTAAGTGAATTTTGCCCCATTTTAAGACTTCTCTTGCCACAACTGTTAAGTGAATCCCTTCAATTGTTAAATCAGTAACATGGTTGTTAAGTGGATCTGGTTTCCCCATTGACTTTGCTTGTCAGAAGTTCGCAAAAAGCGTTTACATGACTCTGGAGGACTGCAACCGTCACAAATGTGAGTCAGTTGTCAAGCATCCAGTACTGCAGCTACTTCAGCTGACTGCTAGTTCAGCAGATCAGCAGATCGAATCTCACTGGCTCAAGGTTGACTCAGCCTTCCATCCTTCCGAGGTGGGTAAAATGAGGACCCAGATTGTCGGGGGCAATATACTATTTAGTATACTGTCTTTGTTGTAAGCCGCCCAGAGTCCTCGGAGAATGGGTGGCATAGAAATATGAATAATAAATAAATAAATAAATCCAAATGTAAATCACGTGAGTTAATGGAATCTGGTTTCCCAATTAACTTTGCTTGTCAGAAGATCGCAAAATGGGATCACTTGATCCTGGGACACTGTGGCCGTCATAAATATGAACCAGTTGCCAAGCATCTGAATTTTGATTCGGTGACCATGGGGATGTTGCAATGGTTGTAAGTGTGAAAAGCGGTCATAAGTCACTTTTTACAGTGCCGTTGTAACTTTCAATGGTCACTAAATGAAGTGTTATAAGTCGAGGACTACCTGTATATCGAATTCAAGTTGTTGCATGCTTTTGTTCTACTATGTAATTGGCTTATTTCTACAAACCTTGGGTAGATATTTCTCTTTTTGTGCTTCGTTGCCATTCCTCACCAACTGATTGATGCACAGATTTGAATGAGCACCGTAGCTTAACGCAACCGCTGCTGAAGCCCGAGATATTTCTTCCATTATCAGTACATGGTCCAGATAGCCCATCCCTGATCCACCATATTCAACTAGAAGGAATTGGGGAGTAAAAGGGTAGTAAAGTTTAAAATTAGATTAATATAGCCTAGAAATATTACTAATTTCCCCAAGTCCAATATATCCATATCGCCACATATTGCAAATCCATAGGCCACAAAGGCTTGTTCAACGCTAAATGCATGTACGTACCTGGAACTGTAACTCCCAGAACTCCTAGGTCCCCAAGCTTCTTCCAGAATTCCTACAAAGAGTGGAACAAATCTATAAGCAAGATTTTGACCTAATGTAAGGCCACTCAGGTTTTAAAATGTCCTTAAGTATCTCAGTTTAATCTCTCTACCAATATAAAATGCTGGGTAAAATATCTATTGCCCAACATTACAAACAAAGGATTAGTCAGTTGAAGAGTGGTTCATTTGCTGTTCCATCTGGTACAACTCTAAATTAACACTTTATCATCATTGTGTGGGTAATCATTAGCTCACTAAGATAAAAAATGAGATTTTCCATGCAGTGAGACCAATTAATTAAAATTTGAAACTGACATTGTTTATCAAATACAGTTAGTAGAATCTCTGCATTGAAAGACCATTTTAATATAATAATCTGTCTTTTAAGATTATATTTCAGGTTTAGAATTTACTTGCTGAATTGTTATTTTCCAGGTTAATCAGTGGCGATTTATAGCCAAAACTGTAAGAGGGAAAACTCTAAAAAGTCTTTTCCCTAGTCCCTTTTGGACTGCAAATAATTAATTTGCAAGCATGTGGAATGCTAACATTTTTACAATATTGGTATTTAGCTTACTAATTCTGACTATGTTTGCCCAATTTAACATGAAACGTGATGAAGTATTTGCCCAGGAATCACACCCGATATATCACAGAAAAGTGCAACCAAATGCAGTTTGCTAGATAGCAGTAGCACTATAGCAGTAGCATTTAGATGTGCTTTACAGCACTCTCTAAGCGGTTTACAGAGTCAGCATATTTCCCCCAACAATCTGAGTCCTCATTTTTCTGACCTCGGAAGAATGGAAGGATGAGTCAACCTTGAGCCTGGTGAGATTCAAACTACCAAATTGCAGTCAGCAGAAGTAGCCTGCATTACTGCAATCTAACCACTGCGCTACCGCAGCCCAGATGTCCTCCTTTTTGGTCATATCTCAGCACCTGGCTGTTTTATACCCACACCCCTATCTTTGCAAACAGCATTAGCCACAATGATCTTAGCAAGACTGTCACATACAGGATAATGGAAGGTTAATCCTTCCTCCAGTCTCTATGCTTGAAAAAAACAACATTCTAAACACTATTAAAATAGTGAGAAACAGTGGAGCTCCAGAGCTGCTGCTGCAAAAACAGGTATGCTTTACAGCCTTCATGAATGATGATGATGATGATCTCGCCTTTTCTCCAGGAGCTCAAAGTGGTTTACATAACCATTTCATTTTTACTGTGCAACAACCACCCTATGAGATAGATGGAACAAAGACAATACGAATGATCTACGACAGAGGATGAAGTTGGACAAGGGACTCCACAGTCCAAATCCAACTTAACTGCTACATTGCACTGGCTCTTAAGTCAAGTAATCCTTGACTTATGACCATAATGGAACCCCAGATTTTTGTTCCTAAGTGAAATTTGCCCCATTTTACAACCTTTTGTGCCACAGGTGTTAAGTGAATCACTGCAACTGTTAACTTAGTAACACAGTTGTTAAATGAATCTGGTTCCCCTATTGATTTTGCTTGTAAGAAGATCACAAAAGGTGAACAAAAGCCCCCGGGACACTGCAACCGTCATAAATATAAGTCAGTTGTCTAACATTTGAATTTGGATCATGTGACTATGGGAATACTGCAGTGGTCGTAAGTGTGAAAACAGTCATAAGTCACTTTTTTCAGTGCTGTTATAACTTTGAATGGTCACTAAATGCATTGTTGTAAATTGAGGACTACCTGTACATTTTTCCTAAGGACTAATTGCTGCTCAACCATAAATTAACCATTAGTTTGGATTCATGGTCACTGAACAAATGGTTGTAACTTGAGTACTATCTGTATCAGCAGCAATTGTTTGGGCTAAAAAGGAGTTTTCTTCCATTCATTGTTTTCAGAAGGATCCAATAGAAAATAAGGTGTTAGGCAAAATAGAATTGTGCTGATTAAATTTTACAGGGGGTTTTTGGGGTTTCTACAACCTTTAAACTTACTCTTAAAAAACCATTTTCTTTCTATAGCTTTCTCTTAGATTGTTTTTGTGGTCTAAATGCTCCCTTGGGAAGACCTAGAGATGCTGCAAAGTGCAACCTAACATTATTTGGAACAAATTTGAAGCTGCAACTGGTTCACTCAAGTGGCTAGTAAGATTTATACAGTAAGCCTTTCCCAGATTTGCTATTTGGACTTCTTTAGCTGGATTTACCAGTAACTCAATCCGAGAACTGTCTCTTAAGGAAAACTTGCATTTTATTACTGAAGTTATCATCCCTTCCTTGAGATAGAATTCTTGGATTGACTTTTGGTTTACGGTATATGTAGAATGAGGAAAGAAATTATTTTTTAGATTAGAGGAACTGCAACTCTTAAGAAATGGCAGAACTGATTTAACTCACTCAGTGTGGCTTTATTCACACTGGTAATCCCTGTGAACAGTTTTTGAGATATGTACCTTACAGTATTGTTACAGCTCAGCTGCTTTCTCTTAGAACAGTCAGCCCTGATTTAAATTGGGAGGTTGGGACCTTCTATTCCTAGAATTACTTTAAGCATCTCCCTGAACTCCTAGCTCCATCTACAATTTAAATAATTATGTAAGAAGTTATTTTTTTAAGATCAAAGGATCACATTACTTACAAAAAATGGGTGCCTTTGGAAAGTGGACATTCTTAAATGGTGCAAATGGCAATATAAAAAGTGGGAATAATTTTTCTGCGGACCACCAAAATTTTCTCAGTGGTGACCACTGGTTTAAAAGGGAGGAGAAGAAGCTATTTTGCTATGTATGGGTCAGAGGAGAGAAAACCAACTGCAGAAAGGAAATAGAATAGCAATAACTCTCTCTTCTGACCCCAGCATGCAAATACAACAACTTGTTTGAAAAAGGATAGTGCCCTGTAACCCTTAATAGGATAGCTTGTGTGGGATTGAGTCTAGGTGGGGGAATAGCATAGTAACCTTGGCTTATCTTATTTAATGGCTCAGCCATATTGAGAAACTCACTATGCAGCAAATCTTCTATAAGCAGTGTAAGCAGGGCCGGATTTTCCTATAGGCTAACTAGGCTTCAGCCTAGGGCCTCAAGATCAAGAGGGGCCTACATTCAAATTGTTAGCAAAATTAAAATTACACTTTCACTATAGGTGAAAGGGCCTCATAAGTGGAATAGCCTAGGGCCTCTTTTCATCTAAATCCGGCCCTGAGTGTAAGTGCATTTCCATGAAAATGAATGCAATGGCCTCTATTGGTAGCTAGTGTCATATTCTATGCTACTAAGAACTAGTTATTATTTAAGGTGCATCGGTATGGTCACAGATTAAACAGAACACCCAGAACTGATTTCGTAAACAAACAAGCATAGCTTAATAAACTTAATAAAGAAATACAAAAGATGTACAAAATTCTGAGGATAAACTTTTAAAATACTAAAGGGTTTAATAAAAACACAGCAGTAAAATTATATCCCATAAAATAACTTATAACTTATAAAATGTTACTTTTGGATGGCTTTCCATGTTTTAGATTAACACTCTTAATACTATTTTTTTTATAACCTGAACCTCCCTATTTTTATCTATTTTTAAAATTTTTAAAATTGCAGTAAATTCCAAACAAAATAAATAAAAACCAGGGACAGATTTTTTTTCCTCAGTGTTCAAATTGAGTTTTACAAGAATGACTTTACTTAGACATTTAATTAAATTCATTCTTTCTAACAAGTAATATTTCATAACAATTTACTTGATTCTTCAGTATTTGTATATTACGTACATTTACATTCTAAAAATTTAATAGAGAGTTCTATCTTCTCAAAGTTGATGCTTTCCAAGCCAATATGAGGTAAGGGGAATTGTGAAATCTACCTGAAGGGCATTAGGCTAAGGAAATAAATTACTAAAAATACTGGCTGTATTACTGAGTCAGATGCATAGCTATTGAAAGCACTTACCCTCATATCTTTGAATTCATTATCCCGATCAATTTCTTGAGCCTTTGGAGCTAAGTGTTCCTGACAGAATTTGGTCATGGTTTGCCTAAGCTGTCCAAAATACAATGAAAAATGCATATTAGAAACCAACATTGTTAATTTCCTTTTCTTGCTTAACATTAAAAAAATCTGGTTTGCAATACGAGATAATTATCAGCTGAGTAGGAGGCTTCCCCTTTGTACTTGTGTGAATTGAAGCAAGGACAGTTTTATTATTTAACAAATGAAATAAATTTATCTCATTGAGAATAAGAATTGTGATGAATAGCAACAGTTCCAGTGGGACCTGCATATCTGTGTTAAGGTATGATTTCATAGTCCTAACCAGTTTGCTATTATTCCCATATTCTATGTTTCCTTGCACAATCCCTTGGGGGGTGGCTTTGTCCCCGTGTTTACCTGAACTTCCTCTGAGGGAAAGCTGGATTTAGATCTTATGATCAAAAGGTCTTAGTAGAGCGTTCAGTACTGCATTTGTTTGATACCTCAAGCATACTATAAGACAATGCCATAGAAGCTCTATTATTGTCCATAGTATTCCTTAGGATTCAACTCCATGGCTTCAGGAATGTTGTCATAGATACAACAGGAGAAACTATTTTTCTTCTAACCTGTTTTCAGGATAGAGCAAGACTCTAATGAATACATTATGTTGGAGAGCTATTGCTAATAATCTAGTATTCCCCAAGGCTGGCTACTTTTGACATAAGGAAAATACAGCATCAGGAAGCCCCCACCCAAGTCACAACAGGTAAAGACCAATTTTTATTTACTTTATTTGATTATCAGCCTGAGCCCCTAAAGATTCTGGACAGTTTTCAATTAAAAGAGAAAAAGCATATAGAGAAAAGAATAGTGGGGTGGCGGCCTAGGTCTCCCAGCAGATACCCTAAGTATCAAGGAATCTATGCAATTCCAATATTAAATGTTTATATGCGTTTTCCCAGAAATCTGGATGGTCTTTCTATGAGGTATTAAAGACCTGGAGGTACCGACAACCTTTTGGACTAAGAAATTAAGCAAGCACCACTGGCTTATTAAAAAATATTGTTTATAATTTTAAAAATCTATGTTACTAAATTTATGAATTTAGTCACATATGGAAACCTGTTGTTTTTGTATTTTGTTTTATACTTTGTGTTATTAGTTTTTTTCTTCAATGAGATGGACGGTTTTATAATTTGTATAAATGAATGAATATAAAATGTTCAGGAGGGAGATGTACAGTAGATAGCTTTTTCACACTCATTTCTGTCCCTGTAGCAAGAATCCTACTTTCTTTAGAGGTTTACACTCAATAAGAGATTCTGAAGAGCTCAACAGGATGGTTCAGCCTAACAGTGTTGACAACTGGTACAGTACATGTGAAATCAAGTATAGACAATACATGGTCTTCACATGTTTTAGATCTCAATTCCCATCCACCCTGAGTTAACACCAGCAGAGGGCACTGGGTTGTCCATCCTTGATTAATTTTATCTAATTTGCAGTAGAGGATTGCTGCGGTATGCTGTTTGTCAACAATTGACTAAATCTTACTTTCTTTGGATAGAGGACAAAGGAATAAGATTTTATGAACAAACTGGCTAGGTTTTCTAAAGTTGTTTCAACTATGATAGAAATTTTTATGGTCTTTTTTTCCCTCTTTTGTTATATGTGGATGCTTATACCATTATTTGTTAATTTAGATCAGGTTGTTAATATTACTTGATACAAATAGTCCTCGACATACAACCACAATTGAGCCCAAAATTTCCATTGCAAAGCAAGGTATTTGTTAAGTAAGTTTTACTCCACTTTATGACTTTTTTTTAACCACAATTGTTAAGTGAATCACTATAGTTGTTAAATGAATCATGCAGTCATTAAAGTGAATATGGCTTCCCCCATTGCTTGTTGGAAGCTAGCTGGGAAGGTGATCACATGACCCTGGGACAATGCAATTGTCATAAATACATGCCAGTTGCTAAGCAAACAAATTCTGATCATGCGACCATAGGGATGCTGCAACCATTGTAACTGTGAAAACCAGTCATAAGGCACTTTTTTCAGTGTAATTATAACTTTGAACAGTCACTAAACGAATGGTTGTAAGTCACGGACTACCTACATGGACTAAATATGTTTATATTGTCTTTTCACCACCATATTGTTGGTATGTTTTTCTTATTACCGTAAATAGAATCAAAAGAGGACAAAAAAGATTTTGTCAAAACATTTATTCACTGATACATTGAATATAATTCAATCCTGCCTTTCATATTTTATCCACTATCTAGTGGACAAGTATCTGAGTACTTATTATCAGTAAGTACTTACAGTATAGATTATAATCCTATTTTTATGTTTCATTAAACCAAAGAGAGAGAGAGAGAGAAAATACAATGGATTTTTTAGCGATCAACATAACCAATCAATGCATTAGAGATAATGAAGATAACAAAGTGAAACAAAGCAATCTGTTTTAAATGTTTTCTTAAAAAAATGCAAGCCAACAAGATCAACAGAGCCATTCTAGAGATAGCCATGTGAAGACATAGCTCAAATCCGCTAAGAGGAACATTTGTCTTCATCAATCAATCAATCAATCAATCAATCAATCAATCAATGAATCGGAATAGAGTTGGAAGGGACCTTGTTGGTCTTCTAGTCCAACTACCTGCTCAAGCAGGAGACCCTATACCATTTCAGATAGGTGGTTGTTCTGTCTTTTCTTGAAAACCTCCAGTGATGAAACCTACAACTTCTGAAGGCAATCTGTTCTACTGGTTAATTGTCCTCACTGTTAGGAAGTTTCTCCTTAATTCCAAGTTGCTTCTCTCCTTTATTAGTTTCCATTAATCAAGAAGAGAAGCAACATTCACTGCAAGTCAGGTAACAAATGGATACACAGAGTGAAAATAACTGATATACAGCAGCTTATCCCTATGCACATGGATATTCCCAACTCAGAATTTTATAGGGCTGTTAAGACCTGGTTCTTCTGGAGGGCTTTTGGACATAGTTGAATATGGGATTGTTGTTTTCAAAATGAACTGGTGGTTTACAGTGACTACTTTGCATTTGTATTATTGATTTTGTAGTGGTTTGTTTATTGTTGACTATTCTTCTATTATCTATTATGCTTTAGAATGAATTACGAAAATAGTAATTTGTCAGCTGCTTGGAGACTGTGGACTGAAGCAGCATAAAAGCTAAAGTAAATACATAAATAATTCTGCAAATGAAGTTGCTAGTTCTTCAAAAGATCCATATATGACAGCTGTTTTTCACTGTAGTACACTACAGATACTCAGCTGGAGTACTTTATATCTAAATGCTATACAGGATTAAACATATCCATAATAGTACCATACTGATCGCAAAACAAATTTCAAAGGAGAAATTTGGTTTATTGTTCAATCCCTAGTATGTTTAAGCACTTAAATATACTTCACAATACTGTAAAATAAGATTTAGTAGCATCAATTACAAAAATCTATAATTTTGGCATGCCCAAACCTTTTTTAAATTCAAAAATCTATTATTTATACCTTTGCAATCAAAGATATTTCCACAAAAGAAAAAAATATGTGCTAAAATGAAATGGTGCAGGTTGTCAGGCTTAGTTATCACACAAACCACATCTCAAACCTGGCTCAAAGTAGGCTACTTGATAAGTTATAATATCCTGCTATGCCCTTTGACTGATTTGCAGATTACACTAAGTGTAATTAGACCATATTTAATTAATAAAGCAATTCTGGCTAAGCCATAAACTATGTTTTTACAAACCACAATGCTAGGCTCAGACAATACATTAAATTAAAACCAAACTACACCAATGTTACATTATAGTCCAGTAATAACTCAGCAGAGGATTACATGTATGTATCATCACTGCCCACATGCCCACCAAAAAGTTTCATTGAATAACCTTGCTAATTTTGAATGTCACTCATGGATTCTACCACCAAAAAATGAACTTAGAATATAAATGATGACAACTCACAATTATCTTGGAGTTATAAAATTCATCTCTGCTATCTAGGTCCGTAATGGCGAACCTGTGGCACGCATGCCAGAGGTGGCACACAGCGCTCTCTCTGTGGGCACACGAGCCGTCACCCCAGTTCAGCTCTGCCGTGCAAGTGTGCAAGTCGCCCCAGTTCAGCTTCCGCCAGCCAGCTGATCTTTGCATGCACGGGGGGCAGGGGGCATGTGGGGGTGTACGGGCATGTATGAAGGGCGCATGAGCGGAGCAGGGCATGCGCGTGCATTGCATTTTGGGGGCTCGGGGGTACTCGGTCCGGAAAAGGTTAGCCATCACTGATCTAGGTCATTCATGTAAGCAACGGAATCTATTCCAAAAACTCATTTTGAAATATAGTAATTACAACAATATTTTATTTATTTTACTGGTCACTCCATGTATGTTTTTATCACATGATGTTAAAAATATTTGTTTGTTTTTAAATATGTTACATTTTGTTGGCTTGCCCTAAAGACAGAGTAAAAATAATCAGCCCTAGAGACAGAGTAAAAAAAAATATCGGAAGACATTTTGTTTTTTACCTTGTAATTTTATCTGTTGCAAGGGCTATAGCTAGTGATGGGTTTTGTTTGTTTTGGTACATTCAACTCAAATCACTATTGATTCCTTGTGACTGCCTGGTCTGGACTTTTCTTAGCAAGATTTCAGAAGTTGTTTGCTTTCTTCCTAGAGTGATGAGAGAATAACTGGCCAGAGATCATCCAGCTGGCTTTATGCTTAAGGCAGGGCTAGAACTCCCAGTCTCTTGATTTCCAATCTGATGCCTTGACCATTACATCAAACTGGCTTTCTATTGCTAGGCACAAATGAGAAAAACCTACTTTTGCAATGAAGAATAAAATGAATCTCTAAAATTCAACTTCCTTTCTTTAAAAGGTATGTCAATATTCTTGGATTTTTTTAAATTGAAAGAACAAACAGGAAAAGAGCCTTTTAAAATCAGAAAAATTGTGTATGACCCTTCCACAAAAACATATCCATTTTATATATCAACACTGTTATTTGTTACTTGACTTTTTATAACATTACTTTGTAGTTCAATCTGGAAACTATCCTGATTTACTGCTCAATAATTTGCTTTTTAATTATTTTTTTGCATTTGTTTAGTCTTTAAACTGGTATTCATCAGTTCATACCATCTGCCGACAGTAAGGTCCACAGTTTAGTAGTCTAGCATTGTTCCCCAGTGCTCAATTCAAATTTCTTTAAGAGGGGGGTTTCAAGCAAACAACTAATAATGTGCAGAACAGCCTGCAGAATTAAATTGTGACTAGTAATGTTAACAACCTTATCCTTCCAGGACAAGATCTAAACCTTCAAGGCCAATCAGGTTAGAGATCGTTACCAGCATTCTAGTCACCAGATTCTATAACATGCTTATTCAATTTTTTCTGAAGAAATAAATCTCCAAACATTGTAACCCTTTCTCACATCTTGAACTGATTTTATTTGCCAACGCTTTCTTAATGGTCTCAACAGGGTAGATGCGTTCCTCATCGCCGGCGCATACAGGATCCCCCGTCCGCCTCTTTTGGGATTCCTATTCCCGTGTGCTCCAGAGCAGAGTTCTGGGATCCAGAATAGGTCCGGTCCCGCTCATGGAAAAGGATCCCTACGCGAACACCCAACAGGGACAGGGGTCAGCGGAGGCTGCAAGAAGGAAGCAAAGCAGAGGACGCTTGTTCTCTAATGCTAAAAGAAGCTGCCGGGTATACCTGCCGCTGCTCCGCGTTCAAACCATTCACCATATCATCCACCGACACCCCGGCGCAGCCCCGCCGCCAAAGTGACGACAAACCCCCGAGGAAGCAGCGTCGGGAGCAGCTGGTGGCGCCCTTCCTGATCAAACCGGCAGCCGCCATCACGAACCCCGCAGCGACCTCCCACTCCGGCAGATCCTGGCAGCATTCCCACCTCTTTCTTTGACCAATCAGCGAGAGGGGGCGAGGCTTAACTCTCCACTGGGAACTCTCGAAATGTAGGGGCGCAACCAATCGACGGCAAGACTATGCTGTGCCTTTCATAACCTTAGAGCCGCTATTTCTTTCGGCTGCCTCGCCGGACTAAACAGGAGTTCGCTGCCCAAAGGCTGAGGAGGATTTGGCGCCATTCTCTTCTCCGCTTTCAGCCCGATTCTTCTGCGAGGTTTCATCCCTGCTTTTTAAGACTCCTTTCTCTCACTTTCCCCTTAGTCATGGGAAACAAAGCGTTTTTTTTCCTAGTATCATTTTTGTAACCCGTAGCACAGACAGCGGCTTCAAAAGTTTCCAAAACTAAAACGGGGAAATTAGAGATTCTCATAAATAGGGAAAAATAGGTTTTGATTAAGAGCCAGTGATAGGTTTCAATTTTTTTTACTACCAGTTCTGTGGGTGTGGCTTGGTGGGCGTGGCAGGGGAAGGATACTGTAAAATCTCCATTCCCATCCCACTCCAGGGGAAGGATACTGTAAAATCCCCATTTCCTCCCAATCAGCTGGGACTTGGGAGGCAGAGAATAGATGGGGGCAGGGCCAGTCAGAATTTTTACTACTGGTTCTCAGAACTATTCAAAATTTCCACTACCAGTTTTCTAGAATGGTCAGAACCTGCTGAAACCCACCTCTGTTAAGAGCCCCTCCCTACTTACAGCAGAATGGCACAATACATTCCTATGCAGGTTGACTAAGAAAAACCCAACTTCATTTAACTTGAAAGTCTTAGCATTTGTTTTAGAATAGAATGGAATAGAATTCTTTATTGGCCAAGTGTGACACAAGGAATTTGTCTTGGTGCATATGCTCTCAGTGTACATAAAAAAGATACATTCATCAAGAATCATAAGGTACAACACTTAATGATAGTCATAGGGTACAAATAAGCAATCAAATCATATTGGGAAACAGTCAATATAAATCGTAATGATACAAGCAACACGGTTACAGTCATACAGTCATAAGTGGGAGGAGATGGGTGATAGGAACGATGAAAAGGTTAATAGTAGGGCAGACTTAGTAAATAGTTTGACAATGTTGAGGGAATTATTTGTTTAACAGAGTGATGGCATTCGGGAAAAACCTGTTCTTGTGTCTAGTTGTTCTGGTGTGCAGTGCTCTAGTCTATAGCATCGTTTTGAGGGTAAGAGTTGAAACAGTTTATGTCCAGGATGTGAGGGGTTTGTAAATATTTTCACAGCCCTCTTTTTGACTCGTGCAGTATACAGGTCCTCAATGGAAGGCAGGTTAGTAGTAATTGTTTTTTCTAGAGTTCTTCAATTTTCTAATTACTTTGTTGATCCTTAGGCAAACTAATCCTGGTAAGTATAATTGAACGGTCTCATTATAGATGAAGCCTTAGGCAACCTAGGTAATAATTGTAGACATATCACACTTCTCTCAGCCCCTGGAAAATCGCTATGCACTGTCATACTTAAAAGACTCCAAAACAAGATTGAACAATGTATACATGAAGAACAAGCCGGATTCAGACAAAATCACTCATGCAATGAACAGATCTTTTCATTGTGAAATATCATTAAAGAGAGTAAGGAATACCAAAATCAGATGACAATTAACTTTATTATTTTTTTAAAAAAGCACTGAGTGTGTCAATAGAGAATTATGGAACATACTACAAACATACTGTATTCCTAGAGATATATTAATATCTTTAGAAACGTTTACACTAGGTGCTGTGTAAGAACTGAAAATGGGAGTCCTGACTACTTAATACTGTGTAAGGCAGGGCTGTGTCCTACCCATGTTATATTTGATTTATTTATTTATTTAATTTATATTGCCGCCTATTTGCCCATGGCGACTCAAGGTGGCTTACAGAATATAAAACCATTTAAAACAATAAAAACTAACAAAAAGAATCAAATAAATTAATATAGTACAATATAAGAAAATCACCGCCCATCTCGCACCCACTCCCACTCCAGCGACAGCAGATCACATGAGTCATTTAATGGGCTCCATCCTGCTCTGGGTTCCCCAGGCCCGCTGGCAGAACGAGGTCTTCAGCACCTTCTGGAAGAGTATTAGAGTAGGGGCCATTCTAATCTCTGGGGAAATGATGTTCCAGAGAGAGGGAGCCACCATGGAGAGAAGGCCCTTTTACTGGGTCCCACCAGGTGTATCTCCCTCGGGGATGGAACCCGCATCATTTCCTGCCTTCCCGCTCTGATGTGTCAGGTAGATATGACTGGCAAGAGACAGTCCCTCAGATAACCTGGTCCCAAGCCATGAAGGGCTTTAAAGGTGACAACCAGCACTTTGAATTGCCCCCAGAAGCAAATAGGCAACCAATGCAGCTCCCGCAGGAGAGGTGATACATGTGCACAGCGGGGTCTGACAAAACTATGCGGGCTGCTGCATTTTGCACCAACTGGAGCTTCCTGATGCTCTTCAAGGGCAGCTCTATGTAGAGTGTGTTGCAATAGTCAAGATGGGAAGTGACTAGGGCATGAGTGACTGAGTAGGTCTGTTGACTGTTGGTCAAGGAAAGGGTATAACTGGCTCACAACCCGCAGTTGCGCAAAGGCCCTCCTGGCCACGACTGCCACCTGCTCTTTGAGCAGAAGTCGTGAGTCCAGGAAAACCCCTAGATTACGCACAGGGTCTGTTTCCCCATCCAAGACCAAAGGTGGCTATTCTCCCTGAGCCAACGAACCCCAAACCCAGAGCCACTCGGTCTTGCAAGGATTTAGTTTCAATTCGTTGCTCCCCAGCCAGCCCCTAACAGCCTCTAGGCACTGCGAGAGGGACACGGCATCACTTAACTCACCACGGGCCGAGACATACAGCTGAGTATCATCAGCATATTGGTGATACCTCAGTCCATGGTATGATCTCACCCAGTGGCTTCATATAAATGTTGAACAGAAGCGGAGAGAGTACCGAGCCCTGCGGAACCCCGTAAAGCAGTGGGCGAGGGCTGGATCTCTCCCATGGACTATACCAGTGTTTCCCAAACTTTTGACATATGTGTACCCCTTCTATAATTTTCGTAACGCTGAGTACCCCTCATAAAAAACATATGCTTTAACTCTAACCGTTAGATAACACTGCAATTCTCCAGCGTTTAAACAGCTCCGTGGCTCAACATCAACTGTTAATGTTCCCGCAGTTTAAAAATGGCCGAACCTGAGCTGCGCGAAGGATGCGCAGAAGTTCCCGCCATAATGAGTTGCGATACGATGTACGATGGCCCCAGTTCCCGTGTAAAAACTACGATACGCGCCTATTTCTTTCCTTGTTCTCTGGGCGCAGCTAAGCACCGTGCAGTGGATATTCCCACGTGATCCCCACCAAACTCCAGTGCAACGTGTACCCCCACCAAACTCTTCCCGTACCCCTGGGGGTACGCATACCACACTTTGGGAAACACTGGACTATACCATGAAAAAGGCAATGAATAAATTGGACTTTAGCATTCCATGGAATAAACAAGGCAAATTGACTTATATTTTGCTGATGTCATTGCTTTGCTGGAAAGCACTAAGATACAGCTGAAAGATATGACACTAGTACTTGAAGCAGCGGCAGGTAAAGTGGGCTTAGAAACCAGTGAAGACAAGTCCAAGCAAGTTAGCAAATTTCAATATAACACCCTGATAACATTAGGACAGGCCTTAAAATTTGTGGAACAATTCAACTATCTTGGTGATATGGATACAGATCTGAAGGGAACTGAAGCAGATGTGAAATGCCAAATAGGCAAGGCAAATGTCGTCTTCCAACAAATGAACCACATCTGCTATAAACATAGCATCCAACATCAGATTATTGAATGCCATACTGACTGCCATCTATGCTAATCAGACCTGGAAATCTACAACAAGAATTATTCATAAGATCAACATCATTGCCTCAAAAGGATTCTTCATATATTTCATATTGGAACCATGACACACATGAGGAAATTCTACAAATAATTCCTGAAGACACTGAGATTGTGTCAAAATGAAGAATGGGCTTTACTGGACATGTGCTCTGCATGAATGAGCAATATCCAGCAAAGTCTGCAATCAATTGGATACCACCAGATGATCAGAGAAAATGAGGAAAGCCAAAGAAAACCTGGTGCTAAATATTTTAGGAAGATCAGAAAAAATCAGTCTTAAATGGAAGGATGTGGAAACTAGCTACGGACAGAAAACTGTGGAGTATGCTTGTAATCAATGTGCTTAACAGAGAAATGATTATTATAGAAGATAGCAACAATCATGGGGGCTTCTAGGTACAATAACAAAATCTAATGCAGCTTAATAATAAAATACTTTTCTTTCTGAAACAGAAATTGAAAGTGGATTGTCCAAGTCTTCAAAAAATCATGTTAAAATATGCTGAGGTATTTTTACCTAGCCTAGCTGACTAGAAAGCTTCTACAGAGCAAAAATAGATTAGGAAGGAAATTAAAATATAACAATCTGCCTAAGATGTTTTCTATACTTTCCTAGAAAGTGCAGGTGACATAAGCAATTAGAAATAAAACTTAAATAAATCAATACATTTTTATTGCCATTAACATCAAGAACTTACTCAAAATGCCAACTAAACAGCATAAATGCATCACCTATTGAGCCAAATTATATAAACACTCAATTTAATTGATTTTAATTAATACCTCTTGTTTGCTGCCCATTGATACATTATAATGGCCTGCCAATGGAACAGTTTACAAAGATTTTATAATACATTATAGATTGTTCCCCCTATTTTGGAAACAACTGCCGTAATCTTTTGTCATCATCCATATTAGCTAGGACTGATGAAAGCTGAAGTTCAATCTGAAGAGCCTGTACACGACATACGTAAAGCTCTTCAATCCCGATAAATAGGAGTATAAACATTTCTGTCTGTAAATTAATATTTAGGGAATAGAGTTCTTTTCAGTAACAAAAAACTGAAAGATTGAGAGATGTAAGATGACAGAGAATATATCTCACATACCTAGATTAGCTTCTTCCAAAGCCAAGAAAAAAACAAGAAAAACATGAAAAATAGTATTTTTAAATTCTTCTGGTATGTTCAGTTTAAATTTAAGTTTCGTATTTTCTTACATTTCTAGCTATTCTGTAGAATATGAGTTTTTGTTTAAATGATCCATGGTGTTGGAAATGACTTCAGCCAACAAAAACTTGGATCGGTGAAAACAAAGAGATTTTATTTCAAAATAAACAATAAAGTAGTTTACAAAATGCGGTCCAGCAGAGACCTTAACATAAATATTACTATTTTTACTATCATTACTATTTTTTTAATAATACATTACTATTATTACTATTTTAATTGAATTCCTTACAATGATAAACTTAATAAATCTCAGCCCAAATCTATGATGCGTTTAAGAAGTCAACTTCCTGGTTTAAAGCAGCAAACAGCTCTTCCATTTCTCTATGAAAAGACTGTTGCTCCTCTAAGAAATGGGTCCTCTCCTCCTCTATCTGCTTCCATCTGGTCTGAGCATTCTGTAAAGACAAAAGTGGTTAAGTAGCAATGTCTACTTTATTACAATTGCATTTAATAAATTCTACAATTATGAAAATTGATACACAGGTAGTACTCAATTTATGATCACAGTTGAGACCAGAAATTTTGTTGCTAAGCAAGGGAATTATTAAATGAATTGCGTGCTATTTTATGACCTTTTGGCCATGGTTGTTAAGCGAATCACATATTAAGGTAATTTATTTATTTATTTATTGGTTCGATTTATATGCCGCCCTTCTCCGGACAATGATGTATGTAATGACATAGTTAAGGCGAATCCGGCTTCCTCTATTGTCAGAATCTAGCTTGGATGGTTGCAAACCCTGTATGCGACCCCTGTATGCTGCAACCATTGTAAATACTTGCGGATAGCCAATTGCCCCAATTTTGATCACATGGCTGTGGGGATGCTCCGATGATTATAAGTGCAAAGACTGGTTGTAAGTTTTTTCAGTGCTGATGTAACTTTGAAGATTTGCAAAATGAATGGTTGTAAGTAGAGGAAACTAAATCTAGGAGCTGGAATAGACACTTTATGTTATTTAGTTACTCCCTACTTTGTCCACAAATCCATTGATCTAACCCCCAACAAGGGGTCATCCACCTCCTTTCAAAACTTTCAGGAAAGAAAATGGATGTGCCACACTCTTCTAGGCACACTCTTCTATTGCTTAAAAGCTGTTACTATCACAAAGTTCTTTCTAGTACAGGATTCAGTTGAATCTACTTTAGTTTCAACTTGTAGGTTTTTCTTCTGTCCTTAGTTTCAACAGAACAGGTTTCTCCCTCCTTACTTGGGTCAGTTAGGTACAAAACATCTGTCAGAAATTGCTTGCACAAAACAAAGTGAGAGTCTTTTGGAATTGATACATACATACAAATAAATAGTAACTACCACATGCCAAATTCTGAGTTTTTTCTTCTATAGATATACAGAACTTGTCAGAATAAGGTTAGAATAAAAGCATTAAAAATATTAAACACAGATGTGATATGGTACTAATATACATATATCTGAAGGGGCAAAGAGGAAAATCCATCCTAGTTTTACCTGAATATTTTCTTTTTCCTCTTTAGCCATTTGGATGAACAATTCAAGATCAGCATTAAGTTTGTCCGATAAAACCTGACAGGCAAAGACATTAGAAATAGCACTATTATCAACTTCTAATTTGTAATTCAATGTGAAACGTTTATATTTTATTTTATTTTATTTTATATTTTATACCCATGACTAGGGTCATAAACTAAATTCAGCAGCTAGCCATAAAATACAGAAGCTGCCTCAGAAACAAACATTGGAAAAGGACATACTCAGAAAGGCATTCAACAACATTGTATCACACAGCCTTAACTCTGCACTACCTCAATTAGCTACCACCCTCAGAAACAATTGATAAGACTAACCAGTTGCCAATGTGGAAGTAAGATTCAACTATCGGATTAGTTGTTGTACCCTGTCCTTTGCTTTAAAAAGTTAAAGGTTTCCCTGGCTAGTCATGTCTGACTCTAAGGGGTGATGCTCATCTCCATTTCTTAGCTGAGGAAGCCAGCATTGTCCAAAGCCGCTTCTGTGGTCATGTGGCTGGCATGACTATATGCTGAGGCCTGTAGAACTCTTACCTTCCTACCAAAGTAGTACCTATTTACCTACTTACATTTGCATGCTTTGGAACTACTAGGTTAGTAACAAAATCTTAGATTGCCTCAGATTGGGAATAGTAAAAGAATCACATTTTTACCGTTATCTCAGTTTGCAACTTCTTTTTTGTTTCTTCTTCCTCCAAAATTTGCTCACCTGTAACTAATTTTCAAATATTTTATTGTATTTCAAATATATAAGGCTGTATTTCTTCTCATTCAACTGGAAGCATAGAAGGCAAGCAACTTTTGAGTTATTCTGCTGTCTCCTTTGGTAAGAAATTCCCAAACATCTGTTTCTAAATAGTATCACATGAATCGGAAAGATTTCATACAAAGGGATTATATTTCAGAGGCAGAGCATGCTCTGAGTGAAAAAAACATTCAACCATCAAACCTTCAGTTAGGCAGCAAAAATGGAAAAGGTTTTTGTCCTGGGCTAATTATCAGAATTGCTGATTATCTAATAATTCATTCAGTGGTTGAATTTTAAAGTGACTTAGTTCATACATAACAAAACAGAGTACAATAAACATCTCCCTGCTTTTTACCACCTAGATTCTACTTTGTACCACACAATCTAGGTCAGTGATGGCTAACCTTTTTGCCATCACGTGCCAAAAGTGGGGGGAGTGCGGTGGGGTCACACGCACGCGTGCCCACATCCATAATTCTATGCGCCCTGTCCCCCGTGCTCCCCCCGCTTTTGGCATATGATGGCGTGATGAGCCCGGTAGGCCTATTTTTTGCTCTCCCCAAGCTCCAGAGCCTTTCTAGGAGCCTGGGGAGGGCAAAAACAGCCTTCCCCACCCCCCCAGAGGCCCTCTGGAGGCCAGAAACAGTGTGTTTCCTGACTTCTGGTGGGCCCAGAAGGCCCGAAAATCAGCTGGCTGGCGCATGCATGCGTACCGGAGCTGAGCTTGCGTGCCCACCGATATGGCTCCGCGTGCCAACTGTGGCACCCGTGCCATAGGTTCGCCATCACGGGTCTAGGTCAACGTTTCACAAACTTTCTGCACTAAATAAACAGTGGGGAAATGTGGGGCCCACCCAATTAAATAAATTTCCTCCCTATGTTTGAATCTCTAAGAAGATGGATGTTTTCAGCATATTATTACAGTTGCATTTCTATACGATTACCCATCCTCTCCCATTTTTAAAATATTAAAAATCTAAACTTAAAAATTTATTAATCATTTGAATTGCTTTATGTATAAGGTGCTATATAGCAATGGCTACTTTTAGCACCAATTCGCTGGTTGAGAATGTTTAATAGATACCTTTAAATATTAAAATTATTATTAAAAAGACTGAGCAGGTGACTGACAATTTAGAAGCGGATGCAGGCTAGAAGTGACAAACAGATTGTGTCAGACTACCTGGTAAAGTTTCCTAGCGCACCAATGGGTCATGGATCACCTTTTGGGAAACACTAGTCTAGGCATTTTTAATTACATGAAGAGGGCCCTACCATCATAGGAATTTTAGCCTTTGGCTGGAGGAAAGATAGTGACAGAAATAGTATTGTATATGATTGTCTTGTTTGCAATTAGCACAGAATATTAAATGCTTTACCTGGGTCCAAATTCTTCGCTTCTAATATCAAGAGACAGCTTTCCTGAAAGTTTTTCAGCTTCTCATTTTCTTTTTCAAGACTATCACACAGCTTCTTCATATCTGTCATTTCCTTCTGCAGAGAACAAACCAAAAGATTAAGAAAAGAACCTATTTTTATTAGGTCTTTAAGAAATAAGGACACAAGAAAAGATGAAGAATTGTGCAATAGAACAACCTTTTTATTTGGAGGGACATTATTTGCTCGTGGCTATTATAAATATCAGCAGTGATGATGATTTCTTAAGATTTAGAAAACGTGTTACATGAAGTAGGATTTCACTAATCTCATAAATAGTAGTTTAGAGCCAAATCCAGTTGGTGGCTGGATTTGGCTCTATGGGTGAATTTCATTCCCTACCCAGTGTCCCATCATTTCAAAAATGTATGGGGGAGAATGGAACTTTGGTGCACCTTGAGACAATTCTTGTTTAGGTATGGTAGGATAGCAAATTTAGGGAATAGGTTTCACAGCCTGGAAAAGAGAAGGTTGATCCATTTCTCCTCTCCTATCTGGAAGCCTCTCCTTCCTTATTTCATGAACTAGCTTGAAGTGCTAGGAAACATATTACCATGAACATAACAATATTTGAATATGCAGGCAGAGACATTTCAAGTGCAAGAAATGGCCATTCCCTATGGTGGAGTAATTAAGCATTGAAGGTAGATCCAGGTTAAGAAAATGCATTCTTAATGGCAAGTACCAAAATTCTCTTTCCTTCTGCTATGGGAGATATCCAAATGGACACCATGCAAAAATTGAATAGTACCCTAGGAAGGTTAGGATACTGCACTTAGAAAGCAAATGACTTCCTTCAAAAGCCAGATGTATGGAGGCAAACTATTTTATCATGTTTCCTCGCTTTGTACTTGGCCATGTCTGGTAGTGGAAGCTCTCAAGAGAGCTGAGGCAAGAAGATTGCAGTTTCCCCTAAACTTGATGCCCTTCAAATATGTGGACTTTGGAAAATCATGGAATTTATCCATATCTGTAGAATGCTACATTTGTGGATCTGCGCACTTTCCGCCGTGCTCTTAAGACCTTCCTATTCCAGCAAGCTGGCCTGGCCTAACCTTTTCCCCCTTTTCTTTTAAATTGAAAATTTTAAATCTGTTTTAAATTATTGGGATGTTTTAAATTTGTCTCGGGCTAAATTGTTTAATCTGGTTTTATTTCTGCTTTTAAATTTTGTATTTATGTATTTTATTTTGTGCCTGTTCACCACCCTGAATCCTTCGGGAGTAGGGCGGTATATAAATCTAATAAAACAAACAAACAAACAAACAGTGAGAAACAATTTTTTAAAAATATATATAAGCTAAAAAAAAAGAAAAACAGCCCATAGACTATTCCCTCTATTTTAATTCTTTTTCTGGACTAAGCAAAAACATGAAATAATTGAAAAAGGGTCAATAGAGGGAAATACTAGAGAATACAGTTACATAGATTTTTTTTCTTCTAAGAAAAAGGCATTAATCTGCAAATATTTTCCACACCAAACAGAAGAAAAAGACTTTAATCCTCTTATAAAATGATATATTGTGAGATGATATAAAACCCTTAAAGTAGTTCCAGCCTGTCATTCTTATACAACTAGCACAGCCTTCATTACTCTAAAGATGAAAATAGCAAAGGAGAGGAAAGACTGGGTTTACACATCCAAAAAGTTAATTAGAATTAGAAAATTATAAGAACCACCCATACTCTACTTGTTTCATCTCATAATTAAAAAAAAGCCAAGTTTGCTTCCTTACCTGCATTGCCTCCACTTTTAAACTCAGTTCACTCTTGTCATTTTCCAACAACTTGTTTTTGTTTTTGAGTTCAGTCTCCCGTCTGTATCTGTTCATATTGAATCAAATATTAGTGAGGCATCATGGATGGCAATTTTGCTTGCATTTAGTAATGGCTCAAGAACATTCATTATTTTACAGATGGAAAAGAGGAATATAGAGAAATTATTAAAATGTAAGATATTCACCACATAATGCCTCTATACAGAAGCACTACTGCTTGATTAGCCTATATCAGTATCCAAATATTCATTTATGTAAAAGGCTTATATACTGTGAGCTGCTCCAATCAACCAACTTTGAGCAATGTCTGGAAACTATTAATATGCATCCACACTAATAATGCAAATCTACATGGTACAATATCCACAATACAATCTAACTAAATATTTACACTGTGTGCTATTTTCATAATTTGGTCCTGCAATTGTACATAGTAAATGCTGTATCCATCGCACTTTTTTTCCCAAAATAAAACACAGGTTTCAATAATTACAAGTTAAATACAGGTAGTCCTCAACTTACAACAATGCGTTTAGTGACCATTCAAACTTACGTCACTGAAAAAAGTGACTTACAACCATTTTTCCCACTTATGACCATTGCATCCCCAAGGTCACATGATCAAAATTCAGATTCTTGGCAACTGACTCATATTTATGACAGTTGCAGTGTCCAGGGATCATGCAATTATCTTTTGCGACCTTCTGACAAGCAAAGTCAACGGGGAAACCAGTTTCACTTAACAACCGTGTTAAGTGCAACTGTAGCGATTCACTTAAACAACTGCGGCAAGAAAAGTTATAAAATAGGGCAAAACTCACTTAACAAATATTTTACTTAGCAACAGAAATTCTGGGTTCAATTGTGGTTGTAAGTTGAGGAATACCTGTACATTTTTGTAAGGAATTAAGAGGCTTATAAAACATTTCAGAGTCCAACATTTGGGCTTTAGAGTACTCTTGCTCACTACATGTTTGGACTTTTCTAATTTTGCTAAAACTGTTCTATTTTCAAAACAGATTGTTCCAATTTTTATCAGAATACTTTGTTTTGAAGTTGAAACAAGGCTGTAACGGTTTTTTCAAATTCGAAGAGGACATTAAAAATTTGGTATATTTAAAACATAAAATGTTTTATAAGCCATTCCAAGGCATTCGGCCACAAAGTGGGAGGGGGAAAAAAGGACATTTTGTTTGCAAGTACTCACGATCGTGTAGTTGTTGGCAGTCCTTTCTTGGGAGGGGGTGGCAACGCAACTTTTTTCCCTGACTTCGTGAGTCTTAATATGAGAAGAGCAAATAGATATTGTAAGAGCTTAAGGATTTTAAATCTAAACATTTCAATACAACAAACATGGAGAAGAAGAAAGAGAGAGAGAGCGCGGAAGCAAAGCATTTTGACTAGGGATGTTAATTTTAGCCGCCCTGACACATTTGGCCAAATTTCTTTTTTGGTGGGAGGGAAGAAAAAAAGTTGCAAATTCTCTCTTTTAAAAAGGAAGGTATATGGAACTGGTGGTATATGGAATGGAGTTGCCAAAGAAATAGATATTTTGGCAATCATAGCAAAAGTATATATACCTTTGATTTGGGTCTTTGAGAGCAGCACATGCAGTAGGATTGTTGGCACTAAAGGTAAAAACAGGATCTTTCAGAGGCACCGAGTCCATCCCTTTGTTCTGGTTTTGCTGCTTTGAATAATCACAGGGCTGCACTTCTGCAAAAAAGGAAAATTTGAGCAAATAGTTAATGAAAACTCCTGCCCTCAGGTTAACATTAAGGAGAAAAAGCTGAGGATGAGTTCTAAACTGAAAGGGTGGTTTTATAATACCTAAGAGTGAAATGAAATTTGGAAGTAAATGGAAAATGTTGCAGGATTTAGTAATAACAGGAATAATGGGATGGTGGAGGAATAAAATAATTTTAATATTATGGATTAAAGCAATAAGCCTGGCAATATCCACCTGCCTCTCCCATCTCTCTATTCCATCAGCCAAAAAGTAGCTGCTTCTAGAAGACCTGCATCCTCATGGCAATAAAAAAAAAAAAGATTGTATCTTTCTTCCTGAAGTCCTGTACTCTTATTTAATTTGTGTACAACTTTGGATAAGGAAAGAGACAGCAAAAAAATCTTCTATTGCTTTTTATCTTTAAATCACTGTATGAGCAGGAGAAGACATTACTTCTTCATCAAGTCTATTTACAGAAGCTTGGTTTGATTTCTGATTTTCAACAGACACAGCTTCTTATTCTTATATTTCACCAAATTTGAAGGCCTGAATTTGAATTTCTAATTCTCTAAAATGCAAAGCTAAAACTGATATTGATCCAGAATATATGCACAGAACCTGATGCTATCCTGATATTTTAAATAGTATTATCCAAAGAAATCTAGCTTGACAAACAATATAAATAAAGGGTTCCAAACATTTGACGATAACAGCATATTTACTATCTTGATATAAAATTCCACTCTTACCTGACTCTTACTTCAAAAGATGAATGAGATTTAAGTACATAGTTCTAGTTATAAGTTTAATTAAATTCTAATTCACATCAGGCTGATCTAAGATTAGCTACCACAGGTAAGAAAAGCATTTGAAGTTGTCTTTGCAAAGACACTGCAACACAGAAAGAAATAAGATAATTACTCTAATTGTAGGATAACACATTAACAGACCTTTTAAAACACCAGTTGTTTTGGACTGTTGGGAAATGTAAACAGGGATCTTAGATTTGTCTGTATCCATGATATTTAAAGTCTGAAAGATATAAAGTACTGCAGATCAATAGCTCCTACAATAACAGAGTATGCATGAAGCCAAGCCTTCTAAAAGTTTATTAGGCACAATATCCTTGTAAAGGAAAAGGGAGAACAGCAATTTTAAAGAGTTTTGCTTTTCTGTATTAATTATTGCAAAGTTCATATACTAAAGAAACTGCAATATATTTTGCTCTTGTTTGGGCTTGGGCATATGGTGTGAACCTAATCTTTACGGTTTGCACTATGCATAGCACTTTATCCAAGATTTCTGATTTAGTGTGCTATTCAAATTCCATGTTGCCATCATTTTGAGTTTCTGGAAGCTTAGTTTTACAATCAGAACAGTATTTAAAACCCACTTCCCAGAAACTGAAATAGATTTTGTTTTGGTTCTAGACAGCAGGTACGCTAAAAGACAATAGTATGCAACAGGAGGATGTTAGTAAAGCTAGCGGTAATCAAGTTTTAGGATAAGTAATGAGCATTGCAAGCGACCATTGTTTTAATTTTATTTTCTACAACAGCAGTCTATTCCATTTTGGAGCAAAATAAGTATTTTTTGCAACCTTCAAAGTAATTTGCAATAATTTTATTTAGGTCATTAACCCCTTTCCCTTCAAATCTCACTTTTATCAAAAATAGCCATGTTCATGTTGCACACTGAACCATGATTTACTTACTTACATCTTTATGAATAACAATGCTTAATGTATAAACTGCATTTGAGGAATACACAAGGCAATCACATTCTGATGCAATGCATTGTGTAATCTATGTTTGTTTAGAAATACATCTCAATTTCATGGGATTTTTAAGTTCATTTAATTACATTTCATAGAAAGGAATGAAAATAAAATTTTTCTAAAGTGTTTTTAGACTTCATACTGTTCTGAGTAAAAAAAAAACAAACTTTTATAGACCAAGCAAAGATATCAAGGGCCAGCCTGACATATTGTGCTGTCTTTTCATACTCTAGCAACTTCAGAGCTTGGTTGTTTTCTTGCACTAGGTATCGTCATCAGTGCTAGGCTGATAATGTTACCTAATTTGAGTAATGAAACCTTGCAAGAAAACAACCAAGCTCAGAGAGCACCACTACCCACCGTTTCAACCCCGAGCTACAAAATATTCTCCTTTATTGCTAGCAGCTTCATTCTATAACTGTTTAAACTTTCAAAACGTTTTCTTGAGCAGCTCTCGGTTTAGCACATTGTGGTCCTTTGGTCTCTAAGTGATGAGGAGGAACCCAATCTCATTGTACATATGTTGTGCACTGACAAAGATTTGAATTGAGGAGGAACCCATGTCAGGAACTCAGTTGCTTGTGAATACAGAACTATTTAATTTCAAATAAAGGCTTTCAGCAGAAAACCTTCCAACCACGTACATATACACACACACACACACAGCCTGCGCACAGCATCACTCAGGCGAGACCCCAATTCGATCCCCGAAACTCCTAACCTGTGAAATAAGGCACTCAGAGAAGCTCCCGGCAGAAGCACCAAAGGCTGTTTCTACAACAGCGTCCCGCCGCCATTTGAATCACAAAGGGCGTTTCTAACGCGAGAGCTGAAGGCTCCCGCGCGCATGCGCCGAATAACCCAAACGCCCAGTCCCGAGATGGGGAAAATTACTTCCGCCAAACCTTCCAGCACGTGAATGGCATGAAAAATGAGATTCCCCGTAGAACAGTCTTTCTCAACCTTGGTAGCTTGAAGATGGGTGGACTTCAACTCCCAGAATCCCCCAGCCAGCAGCGCTGGCTGGGGGATTCTGGGAGTTGAAGTCCACCCATCTTCAAGCTTCCCGGGTTGAGAAACACTGCTGTAGAAGAAGCTGACCTGCATCATTTTACAGGGCGGGATTAATTTAAAGTGGGAGGGGGGGGGGTCATTTAATTCCTTGGCTTTTCTTCGAAGAAAAAAAAAATGTTCTGAAACAGCTTTGTTTCTTTGTTGAAGTAAGGGGACATTATCCCAAAGGTGCTTTTTTCAAGAGGCAACTGGACTTTGATTTTTCTTTGAAGACGTTTTCTTCTGATCCAAGAAGCTTCTTGGATGAGAAGTGAAACGTCTTCAAAGAAAAGCCAAAAAATCCAAATGCCTCTTGAAAAAGCACCTTTGGGAACAACCATGACCTGGATGACCGAGAATCTCTACAGCTTTTACATGCTAAAGACTATATACTTTAATTACTGTATGTATTGTGTAAAGAAACGCTAGATTGATTTTGATTTTGGTGTTTTAGCTGCAGTTATATTTGCAGTTCCTTTGCTTATGTTTTTATGTATTATATACTAAGTTACATGATTATTTTGGAGCTCTGTGAAATCCTTTTTTGAATGTCTTGGTATCTTCAGCAAACTTGACCATCTCACTGCTTATCCAAACTCCATTTGTGAGTATCTTAAAATGCATAGTCCTAATACTGATCTATGGATTATTCCAATTTGCTCATCTCTCTAGTGTAAAATCTGACATTTACTCCTATTCTGTATTTTTTAACCCAGTTACAATCCTTGTCAGCATCTACTTTTTTTAATCTCATGGCTCCAGTATTTGCTAACAACATTTACATGAAGGATTTTTAAAATCTAGCTACTATATATAGTAGATCTTTCTGTAAAGTCTGAGTGTAACATCTTTTCAGATTGTTGTCAACCTAGTTCCTGGTTTTTCTCTGGCTATTGATATATCTTTATCTTCATCATGTTTGACATCTATCAGAGGTCATCTGTGAAGGCTAGATAAAATGCTTCAATTCCTCTTCTTCATCTTTAGCAGACTTCTCAGACTGTGACCTCCCTGCCTCAGGAGATTTCAAACTTCCAAGAAATTCTAAGGATCAGCCACTTGGAAATCCTGTTTCTTTTGCTAATACTTTGAAAATTCATGTTTTTTCTTCTGACTCTTGTTCTCTTTTTTTTTGCCCATTACAAGTATTAAAGTCTGTTGTCTAAAATATTGGTTCTCAGTTGGTGCAGTATCTTTGTTGTGTTACATCATTAGTACATAAATTTGCAGAGGTGATTGTCAACTATCAATCAGTAACCCTAACGGTGACCCATTTGTTGGGGGGAAAAGTGGGAGACAGTGTAAAATAAGCAGACATAATATATTAAGTGTATGAAATTCACTGGGATGCAGAAAAAGAAGAACTGTTCTTCTTTGATGTACTTGTAGCAATTTTTAAAGTGAGTAAACAGCTGTTATTATTTTCTGCCATCAAGTCAAGGTGATGCTTCATACAGCACTGTATTTCTCCCTGCGCTATCAATCACAGTAGAACTGTTGGAAGGATTCATCTTTCAAAAAACAGGTAAGCTGCAGTCTTATCTAACCAGCACAATTGCCCACAATATTTCCAATCAACCTGAGAACATAATGAATAATACTAGCAGTCTAAGTACAACATTAAAGTTGCTGGTTCCATAAGATTTGCCCTGTGTATTATAACTAATGTTTCCTTTCAAATTCTAAATCTGATGGCAGCAGAAACTAGAGCGGCCTCAATCCAATTCCATGGTTTATTCCATACATCAATTTTAACAGGCTGCAATTTTTTTCATTCTTTTATTATTATTTTTTCAATGAATAGAGACCACATGGGATTTCTTAAAGAATAAAATTAGTGGGAGGCTGCACATTGTTACTTTATTTGAAAATGAGCCAGTATACCCTCATACATGCACACGTAAGAGGGAAGAGCATCACGTGAGACTGGAAGAGATGTATGGAATAACTCATCAATTTTTATTCTAGTAAATGCTTGTTCTGTGATTGGTCAGGGATCACACAACCCTTCTCCCCTACAGCAGGGGTGTCAAACTGGCAGTCCACAAGCCAGATGCATCACACGCAGGCCACGCCTACCCCAGCTCCACAAATGGGAAAAACGTCACGAAACATCATGTGATGGCAATATGACGCCGTGAGTTTGACACCGGTGTCCTACAGCCATGGGTTGCATATGTCATCTCCATGCTCTCAACATTCTAAATATCAAGCTTTCATTTATTCAGTCATTCCCATGTTTTACAGATTTCCTAGATTAGTTCCCTCTCTTCTTTTCAGTGTTTTACAACTTTATTTAATATTTCTGGCTTTTAACCAGACTCTTGCCTGATTAACATATCTATTCAGTATGTTTTTTGCTGATCTCATTTTCTGTAAACGGTTCTGTAACCATTTCTACAATAACTGATATTTTCTAAAAAAAATTATTGCATAACAAGATCAAAATAAGACAGCCTTAACTTGTTAATCTTAGTTTACAGTAGTATGTCTGGCTTCTAAAGTCTTATTTTAGCTGCTTAAAGTATTTGCAGTAACCATCTCCAAATTTTGAAGGAGTCTAATTTTCTTCTTTCAGTTTTTTTATAGTCCAACTTTCACAAGATATAGAAAAACAATACAAGTTATTGTCCTCCACTTGGTAATAAGATTAATGTCCGTGTTTTTAAGATCTTCTCAGTTCTATTAACTACTATTAATTGACTCAGTTGTGTTTTTAGCCTTCTTTGTATTGCAATGAACACTACCCTTTTCCAGTTTTCCAGCCAATTGTAATTGTCTCATATTTTTGTTATTATGTTGGTTTTCATGGCATGCTGTTGGCTCCAGGGGCTTTTCTTTCTGGCAGCTGTTCCAGTGTCTGCTAATTCATGTCCCAATATTTCTGACTGTTCTTCAGATTTCTGTTTGTTACGTGTGGAAGTATGTTGCTATGATTCCTCAGTGTATTTTTTCATTTTCATTTGCTTTTTATTCAGTTTTTTCCCAATCTCTGCTCTTTATTTTATATAGTAAATGTTTTCTTTATTAGGGCAAAAAGAACTCTCTTTTCCATCCATATCTTTGCAACACTCATTCTCTGGATTTACATTGAATCTGCCAACATTTCTGCTGCATCTTTGCTTTCAGTTTGGGCACTGTAATCATACATAGATACGTACATACAAACAGAACATTTCCTTTTCACATTTGTTGAATACAAATGTTCTTGAATGTTGGCATAAAACCATTCTGTTTCTTCTTCAGATGCATCTGTGGTTAATGAATAAGTTTGGGAAATTGTGACATTCAGAAGCATATCTTGCATGTAAACAGCCATTATTCTATACTATATGGTGGTAGGCAGATTTCAGCTGAGTTCTTGTTTTTTTTTTATTAGTGCTCCTCCATTCTTTCTGTTTTCATTTATAGAATAGCACACTATACATCCATCTGATTAGAAATAGCCATTTGCACTTCAGTTGCTCTTACTGGTGCTGAGAATGCCCATTTTGATCCTTGTTATTTCTTTTTTGATGATCACTTAGTTTCCTAGGAGTCACGTTTTGTATGCTCCAGGTACCCAGTCTTCTTGATTTTCTTCTCTTAGGTCTTTTTGTCATAAGCTTTATCAGCATTCAGGCTCCTACACCATCCTTTCTTATACTACTTGTAGCACATTGTTGTTCTTTTCCAGTGGCAACCTTTTTGCCTGGGGTCTCAATTTTGAAATTATATATATTTTTAGCGGTGAAAGTATTCATTGTAACATGGGTTAATGTAGGGCATGGATAGACAAATGATTATATTCTAAGGATTATTTAAAATGCCAGGATGAGGATCATATATCTGTGTATACATAACTACACCATATATTTTAGGGCTTTTGGCTGTGAAACTCATATCTTCATAAATCATATTGAGTTTTGCCTAGAAACAAATACAACACCTTGTTGTTTTGTTTTGTAGTCAATGCCATTTTATAAATAGCTTATTCCAAAATTACAGTAGCTCCACACCATTGGGACTTATTCCTAATATTTATGTGCATTGCATCTTATTGCTATAATCCTGAACCTCTTTACTACATATGGGCATTAATTCCAACAAGTTGAAAGGGTCATGTATAGATTGCAGGCTGTACTATAATAATATACCGCATTTTTCAGAGTATAAGACGCACCTTTTTCCCCCTTAAAAGGGGGTGAAAATTTAGGTGCATCTTATACACCAAATGTAGCCCCGCCCACCCACTAGCCCCTACTCTTTGGCCTCTGCCTCCCAGCAGTTACCTCCTTGCAAGCAAACAGCAAGAAAAAAACAGCTCCTTTCAGCTTCAGCACAACCTAATTAGCACAAGTTGATTAGATCGGCCTCCCGACTCTCAACTGATTTGCTCTCAGCTGTTTTGCGCAGGGCTCTGCTGCTTGCTGCAAAGAGGTAAAGCAGATTTTTTTTCTCCTTGTAATCAAGCTATGCTGAAAACGAAAATGAAAGTAAAGCAGGCTATTTGCTGTTTGCTGCAGTGAGGCAAAATTGCTCAAAGGCAGAGGGAGATTTCTTTTTCTTCTTTTCCTCACCAAAAAAGGTAGGTGCTTCTTATACTCCGATGCGCTTATACCCTGAAAAATACGGTATATTTCTACAAATATAAATTGAAGTTGCACTGCTAGTGATGTCATAATATAATTCTCATGAGATTCTTCTCTTAGTAGGCAGCCAGACAGATACTGTAAAAGTAACTCAAATTAGTTTTATTTAGTTCATACTGAACAAAATTGTTTTGTCA